GGGCTCCGAGGCCGACGCCGCCAAGGAGGACGTCGAGACGCTGCGCGGCCAGCTGGAGGAGGCGAATGCCGACAAGGAGCGCCTGCAGAGCGAGCTCGAGAGGAAGGCACAGGAGGCTGCTAGTGTGTCGCGTGAGTTGCGGATCATGGAAGGGCAGCTGGCCGTTGCGGTTGAGGAGAAGAACTCTGTGATGTCGATGTTTGCAAAGGCAGCGGATGAGAAGGATGCTGTCACGGAGCGCTGCGCCAAGGCAGAGGAAGCTGCTGTGACGCTGAGCGCGAAGGTGAATGAGCTCGAGGACAAGGTGCTGGAGATGAGCGCTGACTCGCTTCGTGCTGCAGAGGCGGCCGCGATGAGGGCGGACGACGACTGCAAGCGCCTGGAAGCGGAGCTTGCCGCGTCGCAGTGCGCGAAGCGGAAGCTGGAGAAGGACAAGGCAAAGCTCCGAGAGGGCTATGAGAAGTCCGAACGTGAGCGGCTCAAGCTGGATGCTCGGTTTGAAATGCGGAGGGAGACTCAAGTCATGAACCTGGAGAGAACCCCAGCAGAGGCCGCGAAGGAGTCTGTGGAGGGATGCTTCAAAGCGACCAGGAAGGCGATGCAGGTGCTGGACATAAATGCTGCCTAACGCGTATATCGTATTTAGTGCTTAGCATTTCTTTCTGGCTACTCTCCCAGCCGCGTGCTGCTGTTCTGTTCTGTTCTGTTCTTATTATTACTTCCGTTTTTTGTTTTCTAGTTTATTACGCTTCACGTTTCTGTTGGTGTTGCACACCCGCGTCCTCCTGTACAGTATTTGGGTTTCTCTCTCCCAGGTTGGTGGAGGTTTCTATACTCCTCTTTTGTTTAACATCGTCCGCTGTTTTACGCATAGAGGTTGCACCGAGATGCTCCAGAGGACAATTTTTTCCCTTTTCTTTGTAGATATTTTTTTCGTTAAGAGTTTTTCTTTTGTTCTGGCTGACGTGTTTGAAGACGAGGCGGTCCAACATGTATTCGGTTTCTACTTTCTTTCTTTCCCACTTCGCGAGAGCCGTCATCATGCATCAACGTATGTCTGTGTTCTTGATGGATACACACAGGCAGCTGCGCCGGTGGCAGTCGTTGTCACCGTTGGAGTGCGAATGACGCTCAACGACGTCTCAGGGAGATCGAAAGGAAGAACGAAAACATAAATTCTTTTTTTTGTCTTTTTGAAAGGTTATGTCGTCTCGGACATAGCTTTAATTGTTCGACCTGGATAATGGAAAGAAAGAAACAACAACAACAGCAGTGTGCCAAAAATGGCGATGCGAGACACAGTGGCCAGCGCGCGCTCGCCTGCCATCTTTACCTGTCTCTCGACTGTGTGTGGAGGTGTGTTGTGCCGCCTCATCGTACGTGTGGGGTGAAGGAATTCGCCTTTGTATGTACTTGTTGCGGTTTCATCCCCCCCCCCCTGCAGCAGAGCCACGTTTATTTTGCTGTTGTGGGCGCCGTAGCCTTGGAGTGTCTGGCGGGGAGGGATAGCCGCTCAAGACAGTGGACGGCCGCCGTCGTTTAACGGTGCGCGTGGTGTTTTTATTTACGGTGCTGCTGAAGGGCTGCGCCTTTTCCCTCTGTTTTTCGACTTCCACCTCTCGCGCGCTCCTGGTTGTTTACTGGCTTGTGCGTTACTCGCACTTTCCATTGATGAACACCACAGAGGGTCAACACAGTCTCCTTCCTCAAACGAAAGAAGAAGAAAAGCTCTTCGAAATCTTCTATCGCACGCACACACACACACACACACAACAATCTTTTCTTTCACTGTTCACACGTCATTAAACGAAAGATAAGTTGTTGCCTCTTGCCGACCCGCAGCGCGCGAAGGGAATCGATTACGTTGCCCGTACTCCCTTCCCTCCCCCCCCCCCAAAGGGAACGAAAGAAGCCACAAAAATACGCTGTGTTGTTTTGACACCCACACTCTCATTCTTAGGTTGCTCAGCATTTTTAATATATATCTATATAAACACATATTGCCTGCTTAGTTGCGGCTCGGTGGCCGTTTTGCTGTCTCTCGATTCGTAAATCAAAAGAGCGAATCAGGGAAAGAATCGCAGAGAAGGCAGTACGGTAGCGTCTTTCTTTAACCGTATATATTTTGCGTGTGAGGACCCGAGGCGGTCACCAGACGTATCTGGAGAGCAAGAATCCATTTTACGTTCATCGCCATGGATCTCGCGGAGAAGCGGAAGCAACTCGAGGCGGTGCGGGCGGCACGCCAGGCAAAGCAGCACGTCGTCGACCAGTACATGACGGGCCGCTCCCCCGGCGGCAGCAGCACTTCACTCGCCAGCGCCTCCTACGCCTCCACCATCCCCACAATGCCACCACCCACCACGTCGGCCGGCGCGGCTGCCCAGCTGCCGGTTCCCAGCGCCAGGCCTTCCTCCTCCTCACCAGCGTCCCCGCCATCGCCGTCTAGCCCGTCAGCGGGACATGCCGCAGCCGGTGCGACCGTGAAGAAGAGAGATCGACTCACTGCGGAGACGACAGCTAGCAGCCCGCGTACGCCGCCATCCGCCACCGCTGCGCCGGACGACAACGGGAAGACGACGCGCACTCGCGCAGGCGCTGCTCCAACGCCATCACCCCCGCCGGCGCACGCACCGCAGCGGCCGTCCAGCGCGTCGTCCGCCTCCGCCGCTACGCCAACCTCTCCGCTGCACACGAAACGCATCCCTGGTGCGACCGCGCCGCTCATTCAGGTTATGGCGGTGGACAGCCCGCGTGGCAGCCTGGGGAGTCGCCGCCAGCCGTCGCCCACTTCGAAGGCTCCCCCAGGCAACATCAACGCTCCTTCAGCTGCAGCACCAAGGGAACCCCCTACCACTACCACTACGGCACCAACCACCGACAAACGTGCTTCGCCGGGTAGTGGCGGCGGAGCGGACGCGCGGGCACGCACCGCAAAAAAGCCGGCGGTGCACGTCGACGTACACCCTGACGGTCGCAGCGGGTGGAGTGCGCTACAACACTGCATGCGTGGCGGCGGCGCGGCGCATGACCCCTCAGCTGAGACCTCCACCTACCCAGTATGTGTCTTTAACCCCGCTGCCGTGTTGGGCGACGCGACGGGGCCGTCGGACAGCATCCGGCGGCGTGTCATCTTAGACGCGATGGCCTGCCTCGTGCCCTATGAAGGGGCGGCGGGTCTCCTCGGCGACTCCGGCGAGAGCGCGAGCGACTCGACGATTTGGTCGGTTTGCGTGGCGGCCACCTACGGAGCGAAGAATCCGCTGTACACGGAGGTGGCGAACAGCGGCGACTACCCGGCGGCGAGCAGCGCGGTGCGGCGCGGGAGTGCAGAGGGTGGTGCTGTTACTAGTGCTGGCACCGACGCGCACAGCGGACGTGGTGGTGGTGGTGGCAGTGTGAACTACATAAACCGGACGGCCGAGTCGGCCCTGGAGTGGGTCCGGGCGTCGATGGAGTGTGGCTTCCCATGGGGCTCCGCCTCAGCTGCCCAGACCGCTGTCCCGGGTACCACGATGGACGCTGCGCTGCACGTGGCGCGGGAGTCGCCGGGGTTAGTGTTGGCGTGGTTCATGGTCCCGCTGCCCGCCAACACGCTTCCGCGCAGTGCCGGGACGCTCTACGCAGAGTCTCCGACGAGCGCCTTCGCACCACCGCCACGCAGCGCAGGCGCCTCCGCCGCCGCCGCCCAGGCGGACTACGTGGTGGTGGTCGTGCCACTTGTCTGCGACTCCGAAGTGACGACGCTGCTGGCGCATCCCTTCCAGCCGTCAACGCTGCTCGGCGGCACGCGCTGCGGCCGCGTCGTGCAGTGGTCGCTCGGCAGCGCGTGGGCGCAGGTGGAGCCGCGCCGGCTGGTGGAGCGCGCGCTGGCCACGACCGGCACGGCGACGACGCTGCTGTTGCCGCCGCAACGCCCGACGCACTCGTCGTTTCCGTCGCCGCAGGCGCATCAAGCGCCGGTGCTGCGCATGGCCATCCACGGGGACCTCAGCTGCCACCACCTTTACTCCATCAGCCAGGAGGGGAAGGTGTGCACCTGGACCGCCTGGCAGCCGCTGCACCCCACCGCGTCGTGTCTGTCCTACCTCGGCATTCGACCCATGGGCAACATCGGCGTCACCGCGCGCTTCGTCGAGAGGCCGGGGACGGATGCCATGACGCAAGTCTTTATCGGTACCACATCCGGTGCCCTGCTCATCGGCGCAAACCGAGACGCGAAGTCCATCGAATTGCAGTACTACGGCCCGCCCCGCCCTGTGCCGACGTCGTCGACGGTGATCAAGACGCTGGATGTCACGGCGATTCAGCCTGCTGCGGCGCCTGCCACGCCGACGCCGGCGGCGACACTAAGCAACGCCCCCAACTTCACCACCGCACCTGGAGAGGGAGGAGGAGTTGTGGTCTCGCCATCCGGTAAGGGCCCTTCGGCGGAGTCGTGGGCGGGCCTCGGGGCGCGGGACCCGACGGCGGCTCCGGCGGGCGATCACACCGTAGGAGAGAGCCCCGGCGGCAGCATGGGCGGGGCGACCGGGTCGCGTCGACCGCCCTCCTCGCCCTCCTCCGCGTTGCTGCGGCAACCAAGTCAGCGGTCGCCGACGCTGCCATCACCCCTGCCGCCGCAGCCGCAGCGGCTGTCTCCGTCGTTGTTGCCGCCGCCGCCGCCCCCGCAGCCCCACCACGGCCGCATCGTGTCCATGACCCTGCAGACCGCTACCCAAGGCTTCCGTGGCCAGGACTGCGTCGTCTCCGCCGCCACCGACGGCTCGTGCGTGGCTTGGTTTCAGCGCAGCGCGATCCCGCTCGAGGGCTTTTCCTCGGCCGTCACGAGCGTCTGCTGGTCGCCGACGAAGCCCGGCGTGCTGGCTGCCGGGGACTCTGGCGGGATGGTGACGGTGTGGGCGGTGAACGTGTCCATCATCACACCCGTCGCGACCGTGTCGCTGCGCGAGGCGAGCCGTCGCACCCGCGGCAGCGCCACGTCGGATGCGGTGCTGTGGGTGGTGGTCGGCCCGAGCGACGCCATTGGCCGCAGCGCCGGCGCCGCCGGCTTCTTCGGTGAAGCCACCGCGGAGGAAGACGAGGAGGACGAGGACGTGGGCGACGCGGATGCCTCGTTTGGGCAGGTGGACGCGGTCGGGGCCGCGATCTCGTCCCTGTTCTTCTCGCGTGACGGCCGGTGGCTGTTTGCGAGCACGGCGTGCGGTTACGTCTACTCCATGCGGCTAAGCGCCTTACTGGCGTAGCGCACGCGAAGCAAACAGCCACAGCAACCACAACAGAGCAAACGAAGGAGAGAAGGACGGTGGAGAAGAAGGGTTGAGTTTGTGCACGTAAAGGCAGCTGTGCGAGAAGTGTCTTCACCTGCCTTTGTAGAGGTTTGTTATTTTTCATGTTTTTCTTTTTTCATCCTCATCGTTCGTCTGCGTATCTACCAACGATTCATCGTACAAGGCAAAAGAAGCCGTACAAAGCTGTACGCGCCTCTCACCAAATCAGAAGAGCTTAACTCCCCCTCTCAAAGAGACCTGCCAACGTTGAAGTGGGCACAAACAAGCGTAGAGGCTGTGCTGTCAAAGATGGTTGGCGTAGTGTTGCGTCGTTGGTACACCGCTTCAGAGAGGCCTTCATTTTCTTTCCGCAATTAATACTACTACGAGTGGTGGAACGAGGTTGGCGTGACGCTCCTTTAACGCGTCTCCTATCGCCCCACGCTGCGCACGCTCGCCGTCACGGCCACGTAGAATCTCCGGCTTTTTGCTGTTGCTTTCCCTTTCTCTTTTTTTTGTCACTCGAATGCGGGTGAAGCGTATTTTTGCCGAATCACTGACTCGCCTCCTTCCCCCACGCCTTTGCTGCTCTTCCATATTGTGTCCGCCCCTCTCTGGCCCTCCCTCCCCTCCCCCCCTCTACCACAACTACTGGTGGGCACATGTGCGGTGTGTATCTTGATCGTGGCTCCGGCCTCATGCACGCTCCGAAGCCAATTATCTTCACCGTTTGTGTTCTTGTGTGTGTGTGTGTGACGTGGTGAGCACATTCCCACACAGCTGGAGCACTTCGACGCCCTTTTTTTTTTTAAAGTAAAGGTGATCATAGATAAACAAGAAGCAATAAGCGCAGTTCGTCAGCGCAGCGTTGCCGCACCTTCGCTTCAGCTCAACACCAAAATAAACTAAGTGACGACTACAATTAAAAGTTAATTCATTTCACAAACTTTTTTTTGTTCTCGTTGTGGTAATTAAGCCGAGGATTGGGTGGCACTTCAATACAGCGGTGTCAACATAGATAGATCAGCTGACGTGCTATTGTTGTCGTCTTTTCGACTACTATTATTACTATTATTGCTTCTCCTGCCACAGTGCCCTTCTAGTTCATTGTTGCGATGTTCACTCTCGCCTCCCGTCGCTTGATGCGGGTGTCCGCCGTGGTGCCGCGCCTCTTCAGCACTACAGCGTGTCTCGTGGCTTCCTCCGCCACCACCATCGGCATCCGCAACAGCGACTGCGGTAGTCAGATCAGCCCGCTGTCCTCGGGCGTCTCCACACGCAGCTTTTCCACGTCGTCGCTGTGCTTTGCAGCTGCGTTTCAACTGAACGGTGTCCGCCTGCAGCGCAATACTTTCAAGACGCGCGCGCGTCACACCGGACACCACCAGCCCGAGCGACAGCTGCGTCTGCACGGCACCGTCACCGCTTTCAAGCACCGCCGCGGCTACGGCTTCGTGCTGGCCGAGGGCATCGTGCCGAGCTCGCACAAACCCGTGTACACCTCTCTGGACGCGCTGAACCAGAAGGCGACAACAGGGAGCGGCGACAGCACCGCTGCGGCGGGGTCTGCAACCACTAACAATGAAAGCACCGCAGAGGAAGGGACGGCCGCTGCGTCGCAGGACGAAATGCTGCCCAACGCGTACTTCTTCACCCGTAGCAGCCTCGACGGCGGCTTCTACGTGACTGAGGGGGAGCGGGTGTCCTTTGCGGTCGAACCACGGCAGCCGGACCTGGGAACGAAGCGCTACCTCGGCGCACCGGCCTACAACTCCGCTGCCGGCCGCGCTGGCCCGGCTGCCGCAGCCCTCGCAGAAGAGTTTTCGCTGCATCTGGCAGAGGCTGGCGCCACGTCGGCCGCGGACGCGAGCGCTGCCGCACCGCACTTGCTTCTTGCTGTCGCGATGCGACAGTACGATGACCGCTCACAGACGGAGTCGCCCATCACCCCCATCACCCTCTACGGACGAGTCATGGAGTGGGACGACGTGGCAGGCCGGGGAGTCATTGCGGAGTTGGACATGTCGCAGCAGTACCACGCCGACGCCCCGCGCTTCGCCGTGTCGATCGAGAACGTCGACCTGGGCCGCGCCATGAGCCTGCACGCTGGGCGCTATGTGCGCTTCTGCTTAGGTCCGGCGTCGACGAGTAACAAAAGTGGCGGGCCGGATGCGGCGGAAGACGGCGGGGAGGCAGCCGGAGCCGCCGCCCCCACCACCGCCGACGCAGCCGCTGCCGCCACGACGACGGCCGGTGGCGGCGGTGACCAGCTGGTTGCCCAGCGCGTCATTATTGATATGGCGCTGGAGCGCCGCCGCGGTGCGTTTGGCCGCCCCCTCGTCCCAGCCTCGGCGGAGCCCGGCACCGTGACGGACCAAACCCGCTTCAGCGGTATTGTGCGGGACATCCGTGAGAAGAAGTTCGGCTTCATCATCGACGATCTCAGTGGGGAGTCTATTTTCTTCCACGCGGTCAACGCCCGGGCGAACGTGAAGGAGGGGGATCGGGTGACCTACCTGCTGCGAGAGGTAACGCGTGGCAAGCACGTGGGCAAGAAGGCGTGCTTTGACGTGACGCGTGCGGCGCGTGCGGGTGACCGGTGTCGGCGCGAGCGCTCCGCGGCTGACCCGGTGGCTGCAATGGAGGACGAGGAGGAGGACGGCGAGGAGGCCGATCTGCTGGAGGTAGAGGAGGAGGAGACGGCGACGGAGGGGGAGCCTGCCTCGAACACGGCGAGCAGGACAACAAAGAAGAAGAAGGCGCCCGCGACGACGCGCAGAGTCGACGAACTCGATTTCAATCTCCTGTAGCGAGTGTTGCATACGTATTGGTTTTACTCGTTGCTCTTTCTCCCTCTCTCTCGCTCTGGGATGGCGGAGGGGAGTAGAGGAAAGTCGAAGTAAAAAGAGAAGAGAAGGAGCGTAGGATGGCCTTCTTTGCATAGTCTGTCCAGCCGCAGACGGCGTCAACGGCGTCAACGGCCGGCGCCCGTCACTCAAACACCAACAAAAAAAAACCATATGTAGGAACGGTAAACAAAGGGAACAGCTTCGAAGGGAGTCAAACGAATGCGTCAAGGACAACGGGGAGCCGCATGATGTGGCGCGAATACACAGGAAAGAAAGAGAGAGAAAAAAGGAAACAAGAGAAAGTTGGCGGTGGCGGTGGTTTTGCTTATTTCCCTTTTTAAATATTGTTTTCTCCTTTCTGCCAACGTTGTGCTCCGGCGGTGTTGGGGCATTCATTGCCTCTTCTCTTCTTCATTTCTTTCTAAGTATCATCTACGTGGTGGCATCATATACGTTCACGACTTTGTGATGGAGGATAAAAGAAAAACCCGAGGCGAATGCGGAGGAAAATACTCGTATGTCATCTCCTTTTTTTAAAAGTGTTTTTCCCTTTTGCGTGTTAGACGTGCAGCGTGTGTTGTAATCACAGAACGAATAAGCTGGATCATTTCCCCGCAAGGCAGCCGAAGATGCGTACGCCCACGTCAACGTGTCTTTTTGTTGGTTTTTTAAAAACGAAACGAAAGAGAAAGCGGACTTCGCAGCCGCCGCGCGTCACCGTCTCTGCTATATTTATAATGATGTGTCTACTCCGCGGTGTCTCATGGATGCTGCACCTCGCCTCTTCGATAGTAACGGGGGGGGGGGAAAGAGGGTCATCGTGTTTCTTTGCAACCAATTTGGGAGAAGAAAGAAGCTGTTGAGCCACGCCATGCTGATTAGGAAAAACAAGTACACAGTTACCTACTCCTTTGTCTCTCCTTTGTCTCTCCTTGTACTCCTCGTTGCGTGAATGCGCAACACAACCCCCAAAGCAGTAGCGTGTATCTATATATCGTTTGTTGCCGTATAACCTCTCCGTCCGCGTGCATCCATACACACACACATACAAGAAGTACCATCACACTGCTCTATGTGTTTATTTACTTGTTTATTTCGTTTGTGAGCCGTTTGCGTTGATCTTCCTTTTTATTATTATTATCGTTTTACTCTCCTTCCTGTCTCAGCCCTGACATTTTCTTTTTGTTTGTTGTTGGAACAAATTTGTTCATTGCATTGTGCAGCATCGCAGACTGGCTCCCCTGCACGTCGTCAAGGACGTTTTTATTTTCATTTTGGGCCACTGTGAGTGTGTGAGTGTGTGTGTCTGTTCTCTCCGTTGTCTGCCAGTCCTGCGGTGCTGAGTATCTTTCTCTTCTTTCGTTTGTTTGACCCAACGCACTCGTTGTGCTGTGCTGCCACCCGGGGAGATCGTCATCGTGGTGCGCTCCTATTATTATATATTTGTATTTGATTTCTGTTCTGCTTCGCGTCATCGCTGGTGCGGTCCGCCTCCTTCACGCTTCTGTGTTCCTCCCTCGCCGCCCCGGTTCTTCTTGCTTTCCACGGTCGGCGGATATCGTGAGGCGGAACGGAGGAAGGAGAACTTGGAGGCCGTCGCTGCGCGCCCCGCTCCACCAAAAATCGAGAAGAAAACCAAAATCAAAAGAAGGACCAAACACACCACTCGTCATTCATCAACGACAACAGCAAAAAAGGAAAAGGAATCATGGACCCCTCACCACCACCACCGCATCTCTCAAGCCCACCGCGTGGCGGCGCTTCCGTCCGCTTCCAGCGCTCACACGTGGTGGAGAGCAGCGGCAGCCCCGGCGGCACCGCCCCGGCGAGTCCGCCGACGGTCCCGCCGCGCCATCCGGCCTCCCCACCACCGAAGCAGAAGGGCGATGTTACCGTCAGCGACTCCTCCAGCACCTCGGAGAACAACCCAAATGCCATCTTCCCGGCCGGCTTAACGGAGGACGCCGTGCAGCGGGCGTTTGGAAAGGAGAGGGACGCTGCTGCTGCTGTCGCCTCCCCGGCTGGTGCGAACAAGGCGATGAGTGGCGGCGAGTCCCCTCCCGGGAATGGCGGTGTGGGGAGACCGAGCGGCGGGCGGCGCTCCGGCGGCATCGTCATGCCAACCCGCAAGGATGACAGCGACGCCGTGTCCATGTACAGCCTATCGCAGTCCGTGCTCCCGCCAGACCCCCGCGAGCGCGTGTACTACCGCCCGCGGCGTCACCTGCTGCAGTGCTACGTGCAGCGGAAGAAGCAGCCGGGGCTCGGCATCGCCTCCCTGCTGCCCGGCAGCCACAAGTCTTACCAGTTCTTCTTAGAGCACACCAATGACTTTGTGCTGGCGGCCGTGCCTCGCAACGCGAAGTCGCGGGCGATGGTGGAGGACACGTCGGACGGCGTAGGCGGCCACTTCTACTCCATTTCCAAGGGCGGCGGCAACGTCGTCTTTTCGATTAACCAGCAGCAGCTGGACGGCGACTCTCGCAGCTTCGTCGGCAAGCTGTCGCGGCGCGGCAACGGGCTGGAGATGGTGATGTTCAGCGAGGGGAACAAGGCGACCCGGAAGGAGATCGTGACGGTGCTGCTGGAGCACTTCGAGGACACGAGTCAGTCCGCCTTCACGGTGCTCCTGCCCGCCATCGACGCAGAGTCAGGCTACATGAAGCCGGTCGAAGGCGGCGAGGTGAAGTTTCTGCGCGACGGCCGCGGCGGGGCGTCTGGGGCGGGCGGCAGTCGCGCCGGCATCGACGCCGCCATTGCGGACTCGTCCGACGAGGACGTGGAGGGGACGGCGTCGTCGACAGAGAAGGCGGCGCCGCGGTTTGCCGCGGTCGACGGGTCCGGCATGCCGGGCGCGCCGGACCCGCGGTCTGCGGAGGCGATGGGGTCACAGAAGAAGTGGCACTCGCACAGCGTGCTGGCGAAGGAGTACAAGCGCGACCCCCGCAGCCCGCACATCATGGTGCTGAAGAGCAAGGTGCCGCAGTGGGACGGCGTGCTGCGTGGCTACAAGCTCGACTTCCACGGCCGCGCGACGAAGGCGAGTGAGAAGAACTTTCAGCTGGTGGCCGTGACGGACCCGGAGAAGGTGGTGATGCTGTTCGGTAAGCAGAGCGATGACCGATTTGCCTTAGACTTTCGCTACCCGCTGTGCGGCTTGCAGGCGGCGGCGATCGCGACGACCATCATGACAGCCCGCAAGGTGATTAAATAGCTGGACTGCCTCACCGTCTCCCTCCCTCCCTCCCCGCAGGCGTGTGTGTGTGTGCGGAGGATCTTGGTTGGTGAGGGTTGACTGCGAAACACAAAGTAGAAGACAGAAGTCAAAGAACACAATTATTCTTCAAAACACCGTAGAGAGATATTGTAGGAGAAGACGGTTGCTCCTGCCCATGTGAAAAAGTCCTCTTCCGTTGCTGCCGTCGGCAAATGGACGCTGTCTTGCCAGATAATTTCGTTTCCTTCAATAATCCCAGTTCTGGTTGCCTTTTCTTTTTGAGTAGCTTCCCGTCTTCTTTGTTATTTATTGATTAATTAAGTATATATGGTGAGAAGAGCGGGATGCTCATTGAGTTGGTCGTAACTCCGTACGCAGTCGCTGGCGCCGCTAATTTATCAAAACAAAAAGAGAGAGAAAACGCTCTTCTTTTCCCTTCCGTTTTATTATTGCTATGAATGTTGTTTAGCTGTTGTTGTCTCTCAAGCAAGGCCTCCTTTTTTATTTGCATTGTTATTTTTCCCGATTTACGGCGTTGTTTGCTGTGACTTCTGTTTTGCTCGCATGTTTTATTATTTTATTACTTTATTATTTTTTAGGCGCATCAAAGTGCTTCGACGCGCGCTGCCTCACCTCACCTCACCGGGCGAGGCGTCGCTTTCGTTCGCCAAGAGTGGGCTTTCTATCTCGACGGAGCAGCGACGACTGCTGCGGTGGGTGCGAATGGGCAAGACCTCGCGCAGCTTCTACGAGAGGCGAAAACTATAAAAAGGAAAACCAATATGCATATCTCTCTTATTATTTTTTCCTGCTGAGCAAAGAGGGAAGGGGAGGGGGAGAAAGCAAATGAATTTGACGAGCGCGTGCGTGCGTGCGTGCGTGGTTTTTTCCCTCTTCTTCTACGTGTGAAATAGTACTTCAGTTGCGAGTGAGGTCTGCGTGGGGGCGCTGCATCGCGGCCTTTTTTTTATTTTTGATCACCGTTGCAGAGTTGACACCTACCAAAAAAAAAAGAATTAACATGAAATGAAAAATCGAAGAAGAAAAGAAGGAGAGAGGACTCTTTTTTGGGGGCGTTTTCCGACTCACCCAAGATGGCGCAATCGCGGAGCAGCTGCAACGTTGCCACTGCGTTATACGCGTTGTGTGTGGCGCGGAAAGCCCTTTTTGTGTCCCCACTTTTCAAAATAAGATAGATAATAAAAAAAGAACTACACAGCGTGACGGTCGCCGTTGGGGCATCGTGTCGTGATACACGCATCAAATGTGACGAGGGAGGAAGAAGAAAGATGACGAGATCAATTTTTGTCTTCTCCTTCACGCGTGGGAGTGTGCGTGTGTGTGTGTGTGCTCCACCCCATGTCGCTTTTCCCGTTCGCCTCGAGAGCACATACACACAAATGATAATTGTAGAGAGAGTAACTCTTTTGCTCCTCTTCCGCCTTTTCCACCTAGTGTCTCGCTCTCTCAACGTAATACTTCAGGGGAGCAAACATTATCGAAAAACCCCCACCACAACCCCAAAGAGGCGGAGCAGCGCTTCGTTCAAGCTGTTATCAAGTGGTCAAAGCAACAGCAACCCCACCCTCAAGAGTTCAGTTCGTATGCGTCCATTGGGTGTGCGAGTGGTGCGAAGCAACGCCGCCCCTCATGTGGCCTTCGTGGCGAGGTGCTCGTTAGCGGATTGGTGCGCCAGCCGCGGCTGCGGTTACGCTTCCTGCACCTTCACGTCTCGGCGGGCCTACCACCCTACACGCACCCTCTTCGCCCAAGTCGCCGCAGACGTTGACCGAGCGCAGAAGAGCAGCGCGGCGGCAGTGAAGACCGCAGCGGCCACGCAAGCGTCAGCGTCATCGTCGTCCAACTCCTCCGCTTCGTCGGCGCACAGCAAACGCGCTGCCCAGATCCGACGCAACGAAGGAATTCTGCGCTGGCTGCGCCGCCTCGTGGTGCCCGCGTTCTGTCTCTGGGGCCTCTTTGTGCTGCGTCCGACGGAGGGGCACTTCCTGCGGTACTTGGCGGAGCGGCGCCACCTCGATGCAGACTTCAACGCGTGGTTTCCACCCGTAACGATGGCGGCCGCGGCGAACAGTGCGGCGCCGACTGACCCGGCGTCCGTGAGGACGGACGTGTCGGCGACTTTCCGCACCCCGCAGGATCGCGACTGGGCGGCGCAGAAGTTTCGCTACAAGAAAGGCAGCGACGACGAGGAGCGCGTGGCGCGGCGGCGGCTGCTCTTCGCCCGCGAGCGCTCTTACCTGGCCGACGACACGGTGGTGGAGACGATCCGCAGCCCGGCGGCGCAGCTGGAGGAGCTGCAGGAGCTGCGTGACCACCCGCCGATGCACCTTCTTCGTGAGCAGCTCGACGCCTTGGTAGTGGAGAGCAAGGATTACACGGGAAAAGTTGGTGCCGCGGCTGCTGCGGCGGCGGGAGAGGAGGCCGCCAAGGCGAGACCACCCACGCCACCGCAGGTATTGATCCTGTTTGACGACCATCGCCTCTTTTCCACGGGGGCGATTGTGTTTCGCGATAAAGACAGTCATGTCGGGCGTACCATGCGCTTCGTCGGGGCGTGCGGGATGCTGTGGCGACAGATCTGTTGAGGTGTAGCACATACAGCAACAGCAGCAGAAAGAAAGAAAAAGAAAGAAGGCAAGAACGCACACGCAGACACCGGTTCCGCCGTCTCATGGTGTGGCTGCGCATCTACACGAGCGTTTGACGGTGAGGTTTGTGGACGTGAACGCAGCGCCGGTGCTACCTCCGATTTTTACCTTTACCTCATTTTATTCAAAAGGTCTACCTTTTTTCCCCCTTTGTGGCGTGTCATAACGCGTTGAAAGAGCGAAAGGGAAGAAGCGTTGACGGACACCTTCGCAGCAACGCGGTTCCTCGCATTATTCTTTTACATGATGACTTCGGAGCGCTCTGCGTTTGTTGGCGGCTGCAATACCCCCCACCTCGAAACACCTTGTTGGGGACTGCAGATATAGCGGGTCTTGCATCTCTGCGCTTCTCACGTTAAAAAAAACTCTTCGTCAGTCACCACGCACGACCCCGGGGCAGGGTTCTCAAGAATAAACGGCCACGTTGAAGAAAAGAAAGCTCCATTTTTAGGTTGGGAAGAGACGCAGCATCAGCGTTGGAACACGCGATGATCTCGCGCGGGAGACGCCGTCTCCGGCACACCTAAGAGGAGAAAGCCAGCTTCCTGCTCCGCCCCTCAAAACGAAGAGCTATCGCACTCGCCGGCAGATGCAGCGCGTACAGCAACACACGCTGCAGGCACCCTTCTCCGAAGCCTCTCCTACAGTCGCTCAACGCTGTCGAAGTGCCACCTGTTCCGTATGCAATATATCGCTGGATCTTTCGTCTTTGGCCCAAATAACTCTCACTGCCAACTTTCGTTTACACGATGCTGACTTACTACCGAAAACGACATCAACACCAATACTCGACGATCGCCGCGCCAACCATCAGTTATTCAAGCTCCTCTATAAAACCTTTATTCCCTACCAACCTTTTTCTAACACCACTTTTCTCTCCTTTCCAACGCCATGCCGATCCAGAAGGTCCACGCCCGCGAGGTGCTCGACTCCCGTGGCAACCCCACGGTGGAAGTGGAGGTGACGACGGAGGCGGGCATGTTCCGCTCCGCCGTGCCGTCCGGCGCGTCGACCGGCGTGCACGAGGCGTGCGAGCTGCGCGACGGCGACAAGGCGCGCTACATCGGCACCGGCTGCCTGCAGGCGGTGAAGAACGTGAACGAGGTGCTTGCCCCCGCGCTGGTGGGCAAGGACGAGGCGGACCAGGCTGGCCTGGACAAGATGATGTGCGAGCTGGACGGGACGAAGAACAAGAGCAAGCTCGGCGCGAACGCGATCCTTGGCTGCTCGATGGCGATCAGCAAGGCCGCTGCGGCGAAGGCGGGCGTGCCGCTGTACAAGTACATCGCGCAGCTGGCGGGCACGAAGGAGATCCGCCTGCCGGTGCCGTGCTTCAACGTGATCAACGGCGGCAAGCACGCCGGCAACGTGCTGCCGTTCCAGGAGTTCATGATCGCGCCGACGAAGGCTGTGTCGTTCCACGAGGCGCTGCGCATGGGCTCTGAGGTGTACCACGCGCTGAAGTCGATCATCAAGAAGAAGTACGGCCAGGACGCGGTGAACGTGGGCGACGAGGGCGGCTTCGCGCCGCCGATCAAGCACATCGACGAGCCGCTGCCGATCCTGATGGAGGCGATCGAGAAGGCGGGCCACAAGGGCAAGTTCGCGATCTGCATGGACTGCGCCGCGAGCGAGGCGTACGACGCGAGCAAGAAGATGTACAACCTGACGTTCAAGAACCCCGAGCCGACGTACGTGTCTGCGGAGAAGCTGCAGGAGACGTACACGCGCTGGGTGGCGGAGTACCCGCTCGTGTCGATCGAGGACCCCTTCAACGAGGACAACTTCGACGAGTTCGCTGCCATCACGAAGGCGCTGGAGGGCAAGGCGCAGATCGTTGGCGACGACCTGACGGTGACGAACGTGGAGCGCGTGAAGATGGCGATCGACAAGAAGGCGTGCAACTCGCTGCTGCTGAAGATCAACCAGATCGGCACGATCAGCGAGTCGATTGCTGCGTCGAAGCTGTGCATGGCGCACGGGTGGTCGGTGATGGTGTCGCACCGCAGCGGCGAGACGGAGGACACGTACATCGCGGACCTGTCCGTTGGCCTGGGCACTGGCCAGATCAAGACCGGCGCGCCGTGCCGCGGCGAGCGCACTGCGAAGCTGAACCAGCTGCTGCGCATCGAGGAGGAGCTTGGCGGCAGCGCGAAGTACGGCTATCCCGGCTGGGCGTAAGGTCGCCGCGTCGGGCGCGTGCGGAGTGCGCGCAGGGGTGGGTGTGGCGTGGGTGAGGGCGTCGTGCACCGATGTGCGCGCCGGCTTCTCCGCCCCAGCCACCCCGCTCTCTCGCCCGCTCTGTCTTTTTCTTTTCTGACGGCAGCGCACCCGTGTGGTGATGCGCGTGTGCGAGCGTGTGTGTTGGTGTGCGATGCACCCGACTGTCACCCGCCCACCCGCATTCGCACACACGGGATGCGCTGTGCGTGGCATCAAAAACAAACCATAACCCCTGCCGCGTGCGCCTGGTCCCTGTCGCCGCTGCTGCACGCACACGACGCGAGCGGTGTGCAGGCGGTGCTGTGCGGGCTGCGTCAAAACGGGCCCCGCGTGACCCGTCGGCTGCGGTGACCGGGTGAGGCGTGCGCGTGCCGGTGTGCGCGCAACTCGTATATTTTGGTATTAACTCTCTAACCTTTTTCGTCTGACTTGTTTTTCGCTCTGTTCGCGGTTTAACGATGCTCTGACACTGCACACGGCGTGCATGCGCGTGCGAGGGGCGGCGGCGGCGGCGGTGTGTGTATGCGTGTTTGCTGCACCAACAAATGATTGAAGAGAACAGTTCTAGCGTCGAACGCTGCGGTGCGCGGTGTGGCGAGTGCACTCGCGCTGCCCTCGTCCTCTTTTCCCTGTCTGCGGCTCCTCCCTGTGTACCTGCATGCGTGCGGGCTGCTGCCTTTCGTCTTGCAGTACTCTCTCTCTCCTTCAACGCCTCCCTGCTTTGGTCTCGCCGTGCCGCGCGACAGTCTTTTCGCTCACGTTAACGACCATCTTTCCTTTTCACACACCACCGGGCCCCGCGCTCCTACGCATCAAAAACACCGCCACTTTTCTCTCCTTTCCAACGCCATGCCGATCCAGAAGGTCCACGCCCGCGAGGTGCTCGACTCCCGTGGCAACCCCACGGTGGAAGTGGAGGTGACGACGGAGGCGGGCATGTTCCGCTCCGCCGTGCCGTCCGGCGCGTCGACCGGCGTGCACGAGGCGTGCGAGCTGCGCGACGGCGACAAGGCGCGCTACATCGGCACCGGCTGCCTGCAGGCGGTGAAGAACGTGAACGAGGTGCTTGCCCCCGCGCTGGTGGGCAAGGACGAGGCGGACCAGGCTGGCCTGGACAAGATGATGTGCGAGCTGGACGGGACGAAGAACAAGAGCAAGCTCGGCGCGAACGCGATCCTTGGCTGCTCGATGGCGATCAGCAAGGCCGCTGCGGCGAAGGCGGGCGTGCCGCTGTACAAGTACATCGCGCAGCTGGCGGGCACGAAGGAGATCCGCCTGCCGGTGCCGTGCTTCAACGTGATCAACGGCGGCAAGCACGCCGGCAACGTGCTGCCGTTCCAGGAGTTCATGATCGCGCCGACGAAGGCTGTGTCGTTCCACGAGGCGCTGCGCATGGGCTCTGAGGTGTACCACGCGCTGAAGTCGATCATCAAGAAGAAGTACGGCCAGGACGCGGTGAACGTGGGCGACGAGGGCGGCTTCGCGCCGCCGATCAAGCACATCGACGAGCCGCTGCCGATCCTGATGGAGGCGATCGAGAAGGCGGGCCACAAGGGCAAGTTCGCGATCTGCATGGACTGCGCCGCGAGCGAGGCGTACGACGCGAGCAAGAAGATGTACAACCTGACGTTCAAGAACCCCGAGCCGACGTACGTGTCTGCGGAGAAGCTGCAGGAGACGTACACGCGCTGGGTGGCGGAGTACCCGCTCGTGTCGATCGAGGACCCCTTCAACGAGGACAACTTCGACGAGTTCGCTGCCATCACGAAGGCGCTGGAGGGCAAGGCGCAGATCGTTGGCGACGACCTGACGGTGACGAACGTGGAGCGCGTGAAGATGGCGATCGACAAGAAGGCGTGCAACTCGCTGCTGCTGAAGATCAACCAGATCGGCACGATCAGCGAGTCGATTGCTGCGTCGAAGCTGTGCATGGCGCACGGGTGGTCGGTGATGGTGTCGCACCGCAGCGGCGAGACGGAGGACACGTACATCGCGGACCTGTCCGTTGGCCTGGGCACTGGCCAGATCAAGACCGGCGCGCCGTGCCGCGGCGAGCGCACTGCGAAGCTGAACCAGCTGCTGCGCATCGAGGAGGAGCTTGGCGGCAGCGCGAAGTACGGCTATCCCGGCTGGGCGTAAGGTCGCCGCGTCGGGCGCGTGCGGAGTGCGCGCAGGGGTGGGTGTGGCGTGGGTGAGGGCGTCGTGCACCGATGTGCGCGCCGGCTTCTCCGCCCCAGCCACCCCGCTCTCTCGCCCGCTCTGTCTTTTTCTTTTCTGACGGCAGCGCACCCGTGTGGTGATGCGCGTGTGCGAGCGTGTGTGTTGGTGTGCGATGCACCCGACTGTCACCCGCCCACCCGCATTCGCACACACGGGATGCGCTGTGCGTGGCATCAAAAACAAACCATAACCCCTGCCGCGTGCGCCTGGTCCCTGTCGCCGCTGCTGCACGCACACGACGCGAGCGGTGTGCAGGCGGTGCTGTGCGGGCTGCGTCAAAACGGGCCCCGCGTGACCCGTCGGCTGCGGTGACCGGGTGAGGCGTGCGCGTGCCGGTGTGCGCGCAACTCGTATATTTTGGTATTAACTCTCTAACCTTTTTCGTCTGACTTGTTTTTCGCTCTGTTCGCGGTTTAACGATGCTCTGACACTGCACACGGCGTGCATGCGCGTGCGAGGGGCGGCGGCGGCGGCGGTGTGTGTATGCGTGTTTGCTGCACCAACAAATGATTGAAGAGAACAGTTCTAGCGTCGAACGCTGCGGTGCGCGGTGTGGCGAGTGCACTCGCGCTGCCCTCGTCCTCTTTTCCCTGTCTGCGGCTCCTCCCTGTGTACCTGCATGCGTGCGGGCTGCTGCCTTTCGTCTTGCAGTACTCTCTCTCTCCTTCAACGCCTCCCTGCTTTGGTCTCGCCGTGCCGCGCGACAGTCTTTTCGCTCACGTTAACGACCATCTTTCCTTTTCACACACCACCGGGCCCCGCGCTCCTACGCATCAAAAACACCGCCACTTTTCTCTCCTTTCCAACGCCATGCCGATCCAGAAGGTCCACGCCCGCGAGGTGCTCGACTCCCGTGGCAACCCCACGGTGGAAGTGGAGGTGACGACGGAGGCGGGCATGTTCCGCTCCGCCGTGCCGTCCGGCGCGTCGACCGGCGTGCACGAGGCGTGCGAGCTGCGCGACGGCGACAAGGCGCGCTACATCGGCACCGGCTGCCTGCAGGCGGTGAAGAACGTGAACGAGGTGCTTGCCCCCGCGCTGGTGGGCAAGGACGAGGCGGACCAGGCTGGCCTGGACAAGATGATGTGCGAGCTGGACGGGACGAAGAACAAGAGCAAGCTCGGCGCGAACGCGATCCTTGGCTGCTCGATGGCGATCAGCAAGGCCGCTGCGGCGAAGGCGGGCGTGCCGCTGTACAAGTACATCGCGCAGCTGGCGGGCACGAAGGAGATCCGCCTGCCGGTGCCGTGCTTCAACGTGATCAACGGCGGCAAGCACGCCGGCAACGTGCTGCCGTTCCAGGAGTTCATGATCGCGCCGACGAAGGCTGTGTCGTTCCACGAGGCGCTGCGCATGGGCTCTGAGGTGTACCACGCGCTGAAGTCGATCATCAAGAAGAAGTACGGCCAGGACGCGGTGAACGTGGGCGACGAGGGCGGCTTCGCGCCGCCGATCAAGCACATCGACGAGCCGCTGCCGATCCTGATGGAGGCGATCGAGAAGGCGGGCCACAAGGGCAAGTTCGCGATCTGCATGGACTGCGCCGCGAGCGAGGCGTACGACGCGAGCAAGAAGATGTACAACCTGACGTTCAAGAACCCCGAGCCGACGTACGTGTCTGCGGAGAAGCTGCAGGAGACGTACACGCGCTGGGTGGCGGAGTACCCGCTCGTGTCGATCGAGGACCCCTTCAACGAGGACAACTTCGACGAGTTCGCTGCCATCACGAAGGCGCTGGAGGGCAAGGCGCAGATCGTTGGCGACGACCTGACGGTGACGAACGTGGAGCGCGTGAAGATGGCGATCGACAAGAAGGCGTGCAACTCGCTGCTGCTGAAGATCAACCAGATCGGCACGATCAGCGAGTCGATTGCTGCGTCGAAGCTGTGCATGGCGCACGGGTGGTCGGTGATGGTGTCGCACCGCAGCGGCGAGACGGAGGACACGTACATCGCGGACCTGTCCGTTGGCCTGGGCACTGGCCAGATCAAGACCGGCGCGCCGTGCCGCGGCGAGCGCACTGCGAAGCTGAACCAGCTGCTGCGCATCGAGGAGGAGCTTGGCGGCAGCGCGAAGTACGGCTATCCCGGCTGGGCGTAAGGTCGCCGCGTCGGGCGCGTGCGGAGTGCGCGCAGGGGTGGGTGTGGCGTGGGTGAGGGCGTCGTGCACCGATGTGCGCGCCGGCTTCTCCGCCCCAGCCACCCCGCTCTCTCGCCCGCTCTGTCTTTTTCTTTTCTGACGGCAGCGCACCCGTGTGGTGATGCGCGTGTGCGAGCGTGTGTGTTGGTGTGCGATGCACCCGACTGTCACCCGCCCACCCGCATTCGCACACACGGGATGCGCTGTGCGTGGCATCAAAAACAAACCATAACCCCTGCCGCGTGCGCCTGGTCCCTGTCGCCGCTGCTGCACGCACACGACGCGAGCGGTGTGCAGGCGGTGCTGTGCGGGCTGCGTCAAAACGGGCCCCGCGTGACCCGTCGGCTGCGGTGACCGGGTGAGGCGTGCGCGTGCCGGTGTGCGCGCAACTCGTATATTTTGGTATTAACTCTCTAACCTTTTTCGTCTGACTTGTTTTTCGCTCTGTTCGCGGTTTAACGATGCTCTGACACTGCACACGGCGTGCATGCGCGTGCGAGGGGCGGCGGCGGCGGCGGTGTGTGTATGCGTGTTTGCTGCACCAACAAATGATTGAAGAGAACAGTTCTAGCGTCGAACGCTGCGGTGCGCGGTGTGGCGAGTGCACTCGCGCTGCCCTCGTCCTCTTTTCCCTGTCTGCGGCTCCTCCCTGTGTACCTGCATGCGTGCGGGCTGCTGCCTTTCGTCTTGCAGTACTCTCTCTCTCCTTCAACGCCTCCCTGCTTTGGTCTCGCCGTGCCGCGCGACAGTCTTTTCGCTCACGTTAACGACCATCTTTCCTTTTCACACACCACCGGGCCCCGCGCTCCTACGCATCAAAAACACCGCCACTTTTCTCTCCTTTCCAACGCCATGCCGATCCAGAAGGTCCACGCCCGCGAGGTGCTCGACTCCCGTGGCAACCCCACGGTGGAAGTGGAGGTGACGACGGAGGCGGGCATGTTCCGCTCCGCCGTGCCGTCCGGCGCGTCGACCGGCGTGCACGAGGCGTGCGAGCTGCGCGACGGCGACAAGGCGCGCTACATCGGCACCGGCTGCCTGCAGGCGGTGAAGAACGTGAACGAGGTGCTTGCCCCCGCGCTGGTGGGCAAGGACGAGGCGGACCAGGCTGGCCTGGACAAGATGATGTGCGAGCTGGACGGGACGAAGAACAAGAGCAAGCTCGGCGCGAACGCGATCCTTGGCTGCTCGATGGCGATCAGCAAGGCCGCTGCGGCGAAGGCGGGCGTGCCGCTGTACAAGTACATCGCGCAGCTGGCGGGCACGAAGGAGATCCGCCTGCCGGTGCCGTGCTTCAACGTGATCAACGGCGGCAAGCACGCCGGCAACGTGCTGCCGTTCCAGGAGTTCATGATCGCGCCGACGAAGGCTGTGTCGTTCCACGAGGCGCTGCGCATGGGCTCTGAGGTGTACCACGCGCTGAAGTCGATCATCAAGAAGAAGTACGGCCAGGACGCGGTGAACGTGGGCGACGAGGGCGGCTTCGCGCCGCCGATCAAGCACATCGACGAGCCGCTGCCGATCCTGATGGAGGCGATCGAGAAGGCGGGCCACAAGGGCAAGTTCGCGATCTGCATGGACTGCGCCGCGAGCGAGGCGTACGACGCGAGCAAGAAGATGTACAACCTGACGTTCAAGAACCCCGAGCCGACGTACGTGTCTGCGGAGAAGCTGCAGGAGACGTACACGCGCTGGGTGGCGGAGTACCCGCTCGTGTCGATCGAGGACCCCTTCAACGAGGACAACTTCGACGAGTTCGCTGCCATCACGAAGGCGCTGGAGGGCAAGGCGCAGATCGTTGGCGACGACCTGACGGTGACGAACGTGGAGCGCGTGAAGATGGCGATCGACAAGAAGGCGTGCAACTCGCTGCTGCTGAAGATCAACCAGATCGGCACGATCAGCGAGTCGATTGCTGCGTCGAAGCTGTGCATGGCGCACGGGTGGTCGGTGATGGTGTCGCACCGCAGCGGCGAGACGGAGGACACGTACATCGCGGACCTGTCCGTTGGCCTGGGCACTGGCCAGATCAAGACCGGCGCGCCGTGCCGCGGCGAGCGCACTGCGAAGCTGAACCAGCTGCTGCGCATCGAGGAGGAGCTTGGCGGCAGCGCGAAGTACGGCTATCCCGGCTGGGCGTAAGGTCGCCGCGTCGGGCGCGTGCGGAGTGCGCGCAGGGGTGGGTGTGGCGTGGGTGAGGGCGTCGTGCACCGATGTGCGCGCCGGCTTCTCCGCCCCAGCCACCCCGCTCTCTCGCCCGCTCTGTCTTTTTCTTTTCTGACGGCAGCGCACCCGTGTGGTGATGCGCGTGTGCGAGCGTGTGTGTTGGTGTGCGATGCACCCGACTGTCACCCGCCCACCCGCATTCGCACACACGGGATGCGCTGTGCGTGGCATCAAAAACAAACCATAACCCCTGCCGCGTGCGCCTGGTCCCTGTCGCCGCTGCTGCACGCACACGACGCGAGCGGTGTGCAGGCGGTGCTGTGCGGGCTGCGTCAAAACGGGCCCCGCGTGACCCGTCGGCTGCGGTGACCGGGTGAGGCGTGCGCGTGCCGGTGTGCGCGCAACTCGTATATTTTGGTATTAACTCTCTAACCTTTTTCGTCTGACTTGTTTTTCGCTCTGTTCGCGGTTTAACGATGCTCTGACACTGCACACGGCGTGCATGCGCGTGCGAGGGGCGGCGGCGGCGGCGGTGTGTGTATGCGTGTTTGCTGCACCAACAAATGATTGAAGAGAACAGTTCTAGCGTCGAACGCTGCGGTGCGCGGTGTGGCGAGTGCACTCGCGCTGCCCTCGTCCTCTTTTCCCTGTCTGCGGCTCCTCCCTGTGTACCTGCATGCGTGCGGGCTGCTGCCTTTCGTCTTGCAGTACTCTCTCTCTCCTTCAACGCCTCCCTGCTTTGGTCTCGCCGTGCCGCGCGACAGTCTTTTCGCTCACGTTAACGACCATCTTTCCTTTTCACACACCACCGGGCCCCGCGCTCCTACGCATCAAAAACACCGCCACTTTTCTCTCCTTTCCAACGCCATGCCGATCCAGAAGGTCCACGCCCGCGAGGTGCTCGACTCCCGTGGCAACCCCACGGTGGAAGTGGAGGTGACGACGGAGGCGGGCATGTTCCGCTCCGCCGTGCCGTCCGGCGCGTCGACCGGCGTGCACGAGGCGTGCGAGCTGCGCGACGGCGACAAGGCGCGCTACATCGGCACCGGCTGCCTGCAGGCGGTGAAGAACGTGAACGAGGTGCTTGCCCCCGCGCTGGTGGGCAAGGACGAGGCGGACCAGGCTGGCCTGGACAAGATGATGTGCGAGCTGGACGGGACGAAGAACAAGAGCAAGCTCGGCGCGAACGCGATCCTTGGCTGCTCGATGGCGATCAGCAAGGCCGCTGCGGCGAAGGCGGGCGTGCCGCTGTACAAGTACATCGCGCAGCTGGCGGGCACGAAGGAGATCCGCCTGCCGGTGCCGTGCTTCAACGTGATCAACGGCGGCAAGCACGCCGGCAACGTGCTGCCGTTCCAGGAGTTCATGATCGCGCCGACGAAGGCTGTGTCGTTCCACGAGGCGCTGCGCATGGGCTCTGAGGTGTACCACGCGCTGAAGTCGATCATCAAGAAGAAGTACGGCCAGGACGCGGTGAACGTGGGCGACGAGGGCGGCTTCGCGCCGCCGATCAAGCACATCGACGAGCCGCTGCCGATCCTGATGGAGGCGATCGAGAAGGCGGGCCACAAGGGCAAGTTCGCGATCTGCATGGACTGCGCCGCGAGCGAGGCGTACGACGCGAGCAAGAAGATGTACAACCTGACGTTCAAGAACCCCGAGCCGACGTACGTGTCTGCGGAGAAGCTGCAGGAGACGTACACGCGCTGGGTGGCGGAGTACCCGCTCGTGTCGATCGAGGACCCCTTCAACGAGGACAACTTCGACGAGTTCGCTGCCATCACGAAGGCGCTGGAGGGCAAGGCGCAGATCGTTGGCGACGACCTGACGGTGACGAACGTGGAGCGCGTGAAGATGGCGATCGACAAGAAGGCGTGCAACTCGCTGCTGCTGAAGATCAACCAGATCGGCACGATCAGCGAGTCGATTGCTGCGTCGAAGCTGTGCATGGCGCACGGGTGGTCGGTGATGGTGTCGCACCGCAGCGGCGAGACGGAGGACACGTACATCGCGGACCTGTCCGTTGGCCTGGGCACTGGCCAGATCAAGACCGGCGCGCCGTGCCGCGGCGAGCGCACTGCGAAGCTGAACCAGCTGCTGCGCATCGAGGAGGAGCTTGGCGGCAGCGCGAAGTACGGCTATCCCGGCTGGGCGTAAGGTCGCCGCGTCGGGCGCGTGCGGAGCCCCTTCATGTGCTGTGGGGTTTCGTTGCGCGATGCTTGCCTCTTCAAAAAACAGAAAACAAACTCTCTAACTTTGTTTCACTTGTAAATGCTTGAAATGTGAGTCTCTTTTGGTTTGTTTTCTGTTTGTTTCTTTGTTTCTCCGCGTCCCGTGTGCCTCGTGAGTACCTGACGGTGTGTGTCTGTGTTGCTGTGACGATGCTCTCTTTGTCGCCTTCGCTATATACCGGAGAGATGACAGGGTCGTCGCAGCAGCACCCCGCTTTGTCGCTCAGGAGACTGCGTGTACCGCACTTTTTCGAGTCTGAACAGCTTTCTGTGAGTGCCGCCGCGCGCGATGGATTGGGCGACTGTCGATCTGCTGCGCGTTGAGTACGCGGCAGGAAGAGGTCGTTCACGTAACCGCGATGGCGGTGGTGTTTGTCTCGCGCAGCGCCACACAATGCGGATGGAAAGTAGAACAAAAACAATACTATAACATGATCTCTCGCAAAAGACGTATATATATATATACATACTTTTATACATCTAACGTGGACCGTAGCGCGTGTCTTCCGGGGAAAAGGCTAAAAGGAAGCTATATAAAGAAAGCACCCAATCAAAACAAACAAACAAAGAAAAGGAAGCGTAAGGATTATCTTTCCTTCGTCTCGGCAGCAAAAGAAAAAGAATGGGACGAACGGATGAACGTGCGATGCTGTTGGCTGGTTGAAGAGCTGCAATCGGACCTCATCCGTTTCTACTTTGTCATGTTCGTGTATTCTGTCACCTAGGCCTTTCAGTCAAAAAGAAAAGGAGACAAATCTTACAAGAAGTATCAGACAGAAGAAGATCTAGCCGCACAGATTCAGGTGAGGTATCATGAGGGTGCTCAATAGTGTTATTGGCCCTGGTTTAACAACCTTTTTGGTGTTGTTGTATATCCGTGCGTGTGTGTGGCTATTTGGCGGATCAGCGATGGAAACGGCCACGACACCCCTACGATGTGCATAGAACAGGAAGGCGTACTGCTTGCATACCATTGTCGCCAAAGCAGACGTTCGGCAATGCAACTCCTAAAGGGCATGACAAACAAACACACACACACACACACACACACACACAAAGGCCCACACTGCGTAGAAGAGTAAGAGCATCTCGCCGATCGTTGTGCGTAATCGGGGACGATTGCTGGTCTACGCACACACGCTCTCTCGAGATGAAATCTTCTTCATTTCCCCGCTTTACCTCACATTCTTACTCCTTTTTTTTTTAAATCTTCTTATCCGTGCTTCGTTAGCGGCTTCTCTGCTTACGTAAACGTGTTGGGCGACCCTGCTGCTTCCGCTGCGCTTCCGCCTTCTTCTTCCTGTTATCTTGGGTGTTTTGTTTTGTGGAGGGGAACCGCACACGCAGTTTACGTGCCCTAGCACGGATGTTGTCTCTGTGCTCTCTCCGTCGTACACGGAGCAGATTAAGGGCGTCGGCGTGAGAAAAAGAAAGCGAACAGTTTTTTGAAATTGTCGTCAAACCTGTCGCTGCTGCTGCTGCTGTGGTGGTGGTGGTGCGCTCCGTGTGAACACTTTTTGTTGTTGTTGTCTGTGCGGCGGGATTCAAGTAAACTGAGCTGCAGCATCGTATTCATTGTATTCATCGGCGCCACCCACCCACCCATCCATACACTCCGACCTACACACATAGCACGATAGGTAAGGGGGCCACATCTGTTTTTCTTCTTCAGCCTTTTCTTTTCTTTTTTCTTCTTCGCCAGCGTCAGCACAAATCCACTTTTCCCGCCGAAAGAAGGAGGAAGAGAACGTCGCTCAAGAAGGAACTCGCTGAACACGTCACCACCTGCCGACGGCACCCATACAGCAACAATTTATTCCCCCCCGCTTTCGTTTCCACCTCACCTCTACGGTTTATCATTTCCACGCTGATTTGTGTTGTAGTGTCCTCACACTTCAGAGTCGTCGTCGGCTGCGGACCAACACTTCTCCCTTCGTACGACTGCCGTTTTGGGTTCCTTTGTTGGCATCGATCGGTGCATGGCGTCTTCTGAATTCCCCCGCGCGTCACATTGCAAGAAGCAGCAGCTCTCATTTTGCCCCGCTCATCTGGCTTTCCCGGCCCATCTGTTTTTTTTAGTTTTATTTTTTTAGAGAAAAGAGGCCTCACGTCGGGCTGCCGCAACTCTGTGTGCGACTGTTGGAGACAACACACGAAGAGGGCACACGCAAAACAGAATGGAGCGAGAGCCCGCCCCACTGTATAGCAGCACCTCAGCCGTGCACGTAGCGCGTGCGCCACGGGTGCTGAAGGTCAACGTGCTGTACGGGATGACCGGCGATGAGGCGGCAGCCGGTGGAGGCGGCAACAGCACCGGCCCTTTAGGCACTAGCGCCGCCGTGTACTCTGCCTTGAACCTCAGCCGAGCCGCATCCCTTTCTCACAGCTACGGCGCACACGTCGGGGCCTCGGCAACGCGACGCTCGATGATCGAGGCCGCTAACCCAAACAGCAGCGCCCTCTCGCTCACCGCCATGAACGGCTCCGGTGCGGCAACGGCAACCTCGTCGCTGGCAAAACCTGTGCTGGATCCCTCGCAGGTGCGGTGCTGCCCGCTGGATCAGTGGATCCCTGACGCGCACGTTATGAACTGCATGGCCCCTGACTGCAACAACAATTTCTCCCTCTTCAACCGCAAGCACCGCTGTCGCATGTGCGGGCGTGTGTTCTGTGCGTCGTGCTGCAACAACCTCGTGTGCCTCTCCGCCGCGACGGCGGCAAAGGCGATGCCGACGGGGATGCAGGAGGGCCTGAGTGTGAACAATAACAATAATACTGCTAGTAGTAGCCACCATACCTTTTATGGGACGAAGAGCGGAAACTCGCCCGCCTCGACACCGGAGCTGACCGCGCTGGGTGGGGGTTCCGACGCCGCAACACCGTCTGGCCCCACGCGAGCGGCTGTCTCGGCAAATGGCGTACATGGTGCAAACGGCGCTGGAATGCGCAGCAACAGCGGGGACTCCTCCGTTGGTTCGACCTCTCCTGGTGCTGAGACGCTCACGACGACGAGTCAAGTCGGCATGGACAGCACCAGTGGCAGCGCGAACACGTCCATGGGCAACGCCACGTCGAATGCGAATAGCAGCAATATCGTCACGAACTCTGTCGTTTCTTCGCCGGTAGTAGCGAACGTGGTGCCGTGCCGGGTGTGCGCCAGCTGCTCGTACGAAGTGCAGCTCGTCGTCTCAACGCGTCAGGAAAACGGGGAGCTGCGGCGGCGCAGCCGGGGCGAGCTGAAGATGTTGCAGCGCGTGCTGCTGGTGAAGGTGATGACATACTTGAACCTGCTCGACCTGGCGAGTATGGCGATGGTGTCGGCCGACTTTTACTTCATGTCCCGCGACAACCTCATTTGGTATCAGTACAACATGACACGGTGGGTGCAGGAGGGGGAGGCGATGCAGCTCTCTTCGCTCAAGTCGCGGGCAGCGGCCCTGCGTGCGCAGCAGCAGCGCGCCTCCCCGTGGTACGGCGGTGGCGGCGGCAACGCCCCGTCCTCCCTGGCGGATGATATCTTCAACAGCACCCCTGTGATTCAAGACGCGACGGCCCTCTCCGAGAGCGAGGCGGCGAAGCGGGTGATCTCGCTCCACGCACGGTACAACTACACCCAGTTCCTTGACTTCGCTCGTCGGCAGGAGATGGCCCGCTGCGAGGGCCTTTCCTCCTTTTCACTGGGGGCTCGCATTCTGCTCTCGAGTCCGATTCGCGTTGCGTTGGTGGGCCCCAGCGGTATTGGGAAGACGGCGGCGGTGCAGTCGTTTTTGGGCGAGAAGGCGGCGCAGATGGTGGTGCGGCCGACGATCGGGTTTGTGCGCAGAGCCACGGCGGTGCGCCTCGCCGGTGGGCTCTCCGCGGAGGTCACGCTGCACATCTACGACCTCAGCGGCGCCGACCGCTACGAGGAGCTGCGGCGCTTTGTGTGCCGCCACTGCCACGCCATCGCCCTGTGCTACGACCCGGCGCATAAGGTAACGCTCGTGCAGGCGGCGGACATCATGATGGAGTTGGAGCCCGTGTTAGGGCCGCAGCCGGTGGTCGTCTGCGGGTTGCTGCGGAAAGGACCGTCGCACCCCTCGAAAGGACCAATGGAGACAGCGTATGGGCGCGGTGAGGGACCGCCTTCGCGTGCGGCCGGCATGCACGAGAGCGACACGGCGAGGAAGACGCTGGCGCTGGAGGCGTACAATGCCCAGTCGACCCCCGTCAACAGCGGTGCTGCGGCTGATGTTGCTCCTGCGACGACGAACCCCACAACAGGTGCGTCCAGCACTTTTGCTGGAATTGACAGCTGCACGGTGGGCCAATCGCTGTCCATGACGATGGGGAATGACAACGGTCGGGGTGCGGGTGGCGGTGGTGGCCATCTTCTTGTTTCTTCTCCTCCTCTCACTCCTTCTCCCCCGCCAGCCCCGGTCACGACGCCAACGGCTGGAGGGAGCGAGGTGTCGATAGATGACGCCGTCGGCATCACGGTGCGGGGGCTGTCGTCTATTCAGTGTCCCATGCTGCGCCCCGCCCCGCTCTTCGAGGCACTCGTGCAGGCCGTGCTGGATCGCCTGGGTGAGGCAACCGTCGCAAACACCACCACCATCTCCGAGATCAGCGCGGAGCTGACGATGCAGAACGAGTCGTCGCTCTCCGCCACGGCGGCGAGCCGGCTGCCGAGCAGCACGAACCCCCGCAGCATATCAGATAGCGTGCGACGGTCCTCCGTGCGTCGTCGCCGCCCTGCTGCGTCGCGCACCATCGTTCAAGATTTGCTGAACCTGACGATGCAGCCGTGCGCGCTGGATATCCTTCTCGATCGCAAGTAGCGGCGGCGGAGGTGGTGCAAGTGAACCGCCTCTTTCCGCCGAGATGTACCGCAATCATCGACTCTTCTCTCTTCTGAAAGACGGGGGCGTGTCCGTGCGTGTGCCTGTGCGTTTTCATGTTTGGTGTTGTATTGGAAGGGGCGAAATATCGGCGCGACAGCAAGAAAAATACGAAGTGAAATGGATGTGTTGGTGTTTCGTCTGTTGCGTGCCGGGCAACGGCAGTACTCTTCAGGTCTGTTTCTCCCTTTTTCATTTTTCATTTTTTCCCTTTTCAAAACAGGTATGTGCATGTGCATGCGTGTGTGTTCTCCCTCTTTGTCTTTATACTACTTTTCTCTGTCTCCCATGTGGAAGGAAGTCTTGCCATTGACTCATCGTGTTGCTGAATGAGGTTTTTATTTTTAACTTTCGAGCAACCCAAAGAGAAGCGGTGACGGGCGGGGTTGTAGCAGCGGTGTTTTTTTTTGGGCTCACCGCCGGCGTCATCGTGTTGAGGCTTCCATCCATGCTCGTGACAAAAGAAAGAAAGAGCGAAGGAGCCGTTTATATCTTCCTTTACTTCTTCCCGACTCTTGTCAGCGGCGATAGGGACAGCTCACGCGAAATGCACCCTTGCCGCAGCCAGTCGTCCAACAAGCAGACTCCGGTCAAGAGTGCTGCCGCCAGCTCTTTCCCTTTCTCTTCTCTGCAGCAAACCTTTTCCTGCCCCCCCCCCCCCTCCCTGCCCTCGTCTTCGCGTCTTTCATCGCTGCAAATACAAATATATGTATACCTTTAGTTCTTGGGGGCTTTCGGGTTCGCGTACGCGTACATTCATACAGTCACGCATTGGGCGAGTAAATTTGAGAGCGAAAAAGAAAACGCATAGGACTTTTCAAGGTGTTAATTGTCCTTATTGAAACCTGCACATTTTTTTATATTGTTTGTCATTTTTCTCTTCAAAGGTGTGGTGTTTGCAGCGGCCAGCGTAAAGCTCTTTTCGTTGTTCTTGTTATCCCTCCTCCTCATTTCGGCGTTGAGTCGTTGTTGTGGCTGGTTCGCCTCCTTGTTCTTATTTTAGTTATATTATTTACTCCATTTTCAGCTTCTAATTCACTATGGCGTCTGCCGCAGATAAGGGCTTCTTGGCCAAGAAGATTATCTCCAGCGATGGCCCGAAGGGCGGGGAGGTGGTGCACGACGCAACGCTGGGCGAGTGGTGCCTCACCCGCATCGAGCCAGAGGAGGAGTCGAACCGTCGTCGCTCCGTTCTGGAGCGCATCGTGAACGTCGTGCGGGTTTGGATTCGACACACGATGATTACGGAGTTCCGCATGCCCGAGGCGGCCGCGGCGCAGGTGGAGGGCCGCATCTTCGCCACCGGCTCCTACCGGTACAACGTGCACACCTCCGGCAGCGATATTGACATGGTCCTCATCGCGCCGAGTCGCATCACCCGGGAGCACTTCTTCAACTCCCTCGCGCCACGGCTGAAGAGCGAGCCGTGGGTGACGGACCTGCACTGCATTCGCGAGTCGCGCGTGCCGATTATCGCGATGATGTGCGACGGCATCGATATCGACCTCTCCTTCGGCTCGATTCGGCAAGACCGCGTGCCGGAGGTGATCACTGATGACCTCCTGCAGGGCTTAGATGAGCAGTCCGTGCTCAGCTGCAATGCGGTGCGGGTGGCCCACAACATCATGGACCTCGTCCCCAACAAGGCCGTCTTCCGTCAGGCCCTGCGCTTCGTGAAGGCGTGGGGTAAAGCTCGCGCAATCTACAGCAACACCTTCGGCTTCCCGTCGGGCATCGGCTGGGCCATCCTAACCGCCTTCGTTTGTCAGTGCTACCCCAACCAGAACGCCGCCGGCATGATCACGCGCTTCTTCCGCACCTACCACACGTGGTTTAAGCCAAACCCGCACGAGACGGGCACGGAGAACCGAGCAATTTACCTCACGGAGTCGACGCGGGCACGCAGCCACCTCGGGCGCGGCTGGGACCCGCGAGAGTCGAAGTCGGACGCTATGGCCCTCTTCCCGGTCCTGACGCCTGCTGTGCCGTACGGCAACGCCTGCTACAACGTCACCCTGACGAACCTGCGCCAGTTGTGCGTTGAGTTCCAGCGCGGCCATGAGCTGCTGAGTCAGCACCTCGGCCTGAGCGAGGCGGAGGCGAAGGCGCGCTTTGGCCCTTTCGGGGTGTGGTCCAGCGTCCTGGAGCCGGTGCCCTTCTTCGGGAAGTATCAGCACTATCTGCACATGAAGGTGTCCTGCAGCGATGCGGAGCTCTATCAGGCCTACGCCGACGGCGTGGAGTCGCGCATGCGTATTTTGTGGTCGGGCAACGCCTCCTCACGCGGGCACACGCTGGAGGACTACCGCCAGCTGCGCCTGCACCTCAACCCCCGCCGCTTCGAGGACCCCGACGAGGTCGAGCTGCGGGCACGCATGACGAGCAAAGCCGCCGGCGCAGGGAGCGTGGCCGGCCCGCGCGGCAGCGTTGGCCCGCGCAGCTCTGGACAGCTGAACGCCGACACGCACGCGAAGTCTCTGCGGGATGGCGTCGCGGCCAAGCACGACGCGTCGTCCTCGACTACCCCCTCTTCTGCGAGTGCGGGTGCGACGGCGGCTGCAGCGGGTCCGACGTGGTTCACGGCGCACTACTTCATCGGGATGACGGTGGACACGAAGGTGTCGTCGGCGAAGATTGACCTGATGCCCGCCATCCGCACCTTCCACACGGTGGTGCGTGAGCTGCGCCAGTACCGCGAGGGCATCACGAAGCTGCCGGCGATCACGGTGGTGGATATGACCCGCATCCCGGCCTTCGTGAAAGAGGCGGCGGGCTACGTCGAGGCGGCGGAGGAGCAGCAGCACGATCTAGAAGAGCCGACAGAGGCAACGGCAGCTGCGACGCAGCAGGAGGCAGAGAGGCGGCTTAACGAGGCGAAGAAAGAGACGCCTTCGATGAGCGGTGGCCGTGATGGTGATGATGGTGGTAGTGGTGGTGCTGTAGGCGGCTTCTCTGCTTCGTCTTCTACGTCTTCGCCTGCACCGGCGCCGTCGAACGGTCATCACAGCGAACACGAGACGGCGTCCTCCTTGTCAGCGGCCACCACCACCACCGCCGCCGCCGCAGCAGCCCACACAACCGGCGGCACCTCCTCCTCCTCTACCGCGGCGCAGAGTGCGGCTGAGGACAATCATCCTTCCTCCTCCGCCGTGGCCTCCACGACAGCTGGACAGGGCAGAAGTCATCCGGGCAGCAGCACCGCTGTTTCCGCCGAGGCGGCGGAGGCGTTGCGCAAGCGTCCGCGAGCAGAGGATGGTCAGCACAACGGCGCCTCTGTGACTGCCAAGACGGAGGCTACCACCACCGCTGTTGCCCCGGCTGCAGTTGCTGCTGCTGCCAAGAAGAACGACGACGATGACCTGGATGTGGCGCTGGGCCTCGATTTCTAACACGCACACGGGACGAACGGGCGGAAGGCATTTGCCGGTTTCCCACGGATTGGGCTGATCCCTTTTTAAAGCACTCCTACGGTGGACCGCATTTAATACCGTGCTGTATATCAATATATTTTCTGTCTCCCTAAAAATATAACAAACTAAAGCGCTCGAATACCAGTTTCATCACCGCTGCATCATCATCATCATCATTCTCACTGCGGTGTAGAAACGGAAAAGGGAAAACGAAGCAGGAACGACTTTTCGCAAACTTTAGTCGGTTCCACCTCTAATGCGTGTTTGCGTTTCTTCTGACCTTGCTGAGCAGGGAAGGTAGGAATTAAAAAGCATATTGAGGACGCGTGGACGCCCCGTCTGCACGTCTTTCCGACGAAGGAAGCGGTAGAGTGGAAGAGAGGAGATGCCGTGCTCCCTCTATTCGGCTACGCTGTGCGAATCGCACGTCAGCACACGGCTGTAGCGTTCCATTACACCGAACCCCCCCCCCACCCCACCACACACACTTATTGTATTCCTGTCGCATCTCAGCTTTCTCATTTCATATCGGTTAATCTGTCTTGTTGACGTACGCCGTCTGCCTCGTTGCAAACGTCAGCAACGAACAACACCACAGGGCACGCCATTGGAACGCATCAACCATAGCATCCATTGGCCAAAGAAAGAAATACTCCTGCAGCTCGTGTCGCAACGCTTCTTTATTACTATTATTATTACAAGAAAAATACAATCCTTTTTTTTTGTGTACGGAAACGCTTTCCACGCTATCCGTTTTCAGCTGGTCTTTCTTCCCCTTGATTCTCTGATGTTGCTTCGCTCCCTATTTCGTTTTTGCACTCTCTACCGATCTTTAGCCTTTCTCTTCTCTGCTTTCTGAGAATACCAACAACGCAAACACACACACACACACACACACCTGCACACAGGAACAGCCTTACTGACGTCGTGCACGAAGTTTCGACTAGAGGACCAAAAACATCACATCAAAACAGCAACAACAACAACATCGGAAAACATAAAATGTCTCGGTGGCTGATGGAGCGCTGCCACGTCGCCACCGCGCTCGAGAAGACGCTGCGGCGGTGCGTGTGGAGCGCGGCGTGGCTGCGGGAGGCCGAACCCGCCGCGGCGGCGAGCCAAAACATCGACCTCGGCCAGCTGATGGAGCGTGCTGGCGGGGCGGCGTACAACATCTTTGCGAACCTGTACGCGCAGCAGCGGCATTGGCTCATCCTGGTCGGCCCCGGCAACAACGGTGGGGACGGCTACGTGATTGCACGCCACGCCCGACAGGCGGGTAGGTCCGTCACGGTGCTGTGCATGCCGCATAACAAGCCTCTCCCGACGGAGGCGACGCGGGCACGTGAGGCCTGGCAGGCGGCGGGGGGCACCGAGAGGACGCTCGAGGAAGGACAGGCAGTGCAGGTGCCTGCCGATGTGGATCTCGTGATTGATGGCCTGTTGGGCACCGGCATCACCGGTCGACCTCGGGCGCACTACGAAGAGGTCATCCGCTGCATCAACGAGCTACCGGTGCCGCGAGTGGCGATCGACATCCCGTCTGGGCTGAACGCCGAGACCGGCGTGGCGGCTGGCGCGTGTGTGCGGGCCGATCACACGGCGACGTTTATCTGCTTGAAGCCTGGCCTCCTGACCGGGCAGTCCCGCGACTACGTCGGTCAGCTGCACTACCGCAGCCTGGGCCTGGAGGAGTGGATGGCGGCATCGGCGCGGCTGCAGCACGTGCAGTGCCGCCGCCTTTCCATCGACGACGTCGCCGTGTTTTTTGGCGCACCGCGGTCCGCCGTAGCGCACAAGGGCAGCTGCGGGAAGGTCGTGCTGATCGGTGGTGACCACGGCTTTGGCGGCGCGATTGTGATGGCGGCCGAGGCGTGCGTCACGGCCGGGGCCGGGCTGACGCGCGTGCTGACCCGGCCCGAGTACGCCACGTCGCTGCTCACGCGGTGCCCTGAAGTGATGGTGCAAACCGTCAGCGATGACGGCGACAGCAAGTCCCACGCGTCTGCCGTTCCACTTGCGCAGCAGCTGGAGGAGGCGCTTACGTGGGCCACGACGATCGCGGTGGGTCCTGGGTTGGGCTGCGCTGAGTTTGCGCTCACGGCGGTGTCGGTGGCGGTACAGCACGCCGCGGGGCACCCAGAGAAGACGCTCGTGCTGGACGCGGACGCTTTGAATGTGTTGAGCGAGCAGCTGCGTACACACGGGTCGCTGCCGGCCGTTCCCAACAGCATCATCACGCCGCACCCCGGCGAGGCTGCCCGCCTCCTCGGCTGCGACGTGGCGGAGGTCGAGAAGGACCGGATGGACGCTGCGCGACGACTGGCGGCGATTCTTGGCGGTACGTGCTTGTTAAAAGGCCCCGGTACGGTGGTGTACGACGATGCAAAGAGTAGCACCCACGACGTGGCGGCGGTGAACAGCGTGCCGTCGCGTCTGACAAATGCCGCCATTGTCGACGCCGGCAATCCCGGTATGGCGAGCGGAGGCATGGGGGACGTGCTGACGGGACTGCTGGCGGGGCTGGCGGGGCAGAGGCTGCACGGCACCTTCGACACGACCTGCGCCGGTGCCCTGGCGCACGCTGTGGCGGCGGACATGGTTGTCTCCGCGGATGATCGTGGCACGCGTGGCCTCCGTGCGACGGAGTTGATTGCGAATATTCCATACGTTGTGAACGCGACGGGACTCGCGAAGTTGCGCCAGAGCCGCGGCAGTCTATGAAGTTTGTTTGCGGAACTGAAGGAAATGCGCATCTCTTGTTTTTTCTGCTCCCAAGCGGCTTTACCTTTTATTTATTAGTATTCCTTTGTACTGCTCTTGGGAATGCTGTTTTCTTTTTCGCTCTTTCGTCCAGCTGTTTTGTTCTTCTTCTCCGAAGGGTGTCGTTTACGTGTGACACACGTGCGAGAGTTTCCATCGCGCAACTCCCCACTCGCACCACCACCCCCTTCCCGCTATGCAGAGTTGTGTGTGTTCTCGTCCTCTGAGCTGCGCTACGGTGGTCACTGCTGCGAAACGGCAGAGGTCAGCACCAATCGCGCTTCCGCCGCGTCCACGCCGATGATCGCAAAAGGGCCGGCGGCGGCCCCACCTTTCTCCACGCGTAGAGCAAGAGAACCGGAAAAGAAAGCAAGAGCGCCGCTTAGAGAAAGGCATCCGATGTGCTGCAAATACTCCAGCTGCCAACCTCGTCGTCGTCTCCACCGTCGCCGTCATCACTATCGTTTTCAACCACCACAAAATTCACGCATGTCACTAACTTCTCATGTGTATGTACATATGTATTTATTTCGGCTATCCTGACTCGCAGTAAAACAACAGCAAAAAGATCGGCACCCTGAACAGACGACGAACACCTCCTGCCTGCCGCTGCCCCCTCCTTTTCACTTTTTTTCCTATTTTTTTTTTCATCAAAGACGTCTCATGGGTCGCGATAGGTCGGGTCGTGGGGAGGTAAAGGGGAAGGCCGAGGAGCCAAAATCTGCCGCGATGTCTTCCAACGGCGCGGCAGACACCAACAGCGGCAACGGCGAGGCCGGCGCGGGGGACAAGAAGAGAGGAGACAAGTATGCCAGAGCTCGTCCCCCGTCATTGGTGCTGACGCACCCCCTCGACTCGGTGTCTGTGGCGCACCGCACCGACGATCACGTGAAGCCGGCCAGCCCGTGGGTGCGGGAGTTGGACTTCGCGGACCGCGCCTACACCCCCCACACCGTCGCCGTGCTCCTGACGATTCTCGTGGGTCTCTTGTTGATGTTGCGCTACTACTACTACCCAAATCTTAGCGTGGCGCAGAACGTTAAGCTCGGTCTCTCGGCGGCGGCGTTCGTGTTCATCGGCTTCGGTACGGTGCACCTGCCGGACTCGCTGATGGTGCGGCCGCACCCGGCGGTGTGGCGCGGCGTCCTCGCACTCGGGGTGCTTTACCTCGTCTTTCTCACGTTTATGATCTTCCAAGACCTGCCCACCGTGCGGATGATCATGGGCTACTACGACACGTCGCTGCTGGAGCCGTTGCCGGAGCGAGCCTACGCGGAAGACTGTCGCATGAGCACGGCCGAGAATCCGTGGCTCTTTGTCCACACCGCCTTCGACATGTTCATCCTGGCGCACTCCCTCGGCTACGTCGTTAAGATGCTGGTGTTGCGCGACTGGCGCGTCGTGACGGCCGTGTCGCTCGGGTTTGAGGTGATGGAGGTCACCTTCCAGCACGTCCTGCCCAACTTCCGCGAGTGCTGGTGGGACCACCTTTTGCTGGACGTGTTGATCTGCAACACTGGCGGCATGTTGGTGGGGATGTGGCTGCTGCGGAAGCTGAACGCGAAGGAGTACAAGTGGATCGCGTTGAAGGAGATTCCAACGATGAGGGGGAAGGCGAAGCGGCTGCTGGGCCAGTTCGGACCCCGCAGCTTTGAGCGGTATAACTGGAACGTGTTTCAGAGCCCGACTCGCTTCTTTCAAGTGGCCGGCATTCTCGTGCTGATGATGGTGCAGGAGTTGAACTGCTTTACCCTGAAGGCCGTTTTGCAAATGCAGCCCGAGTACCACCTCGTGACGGCGCGGCTGGCGTTGTGGGCGCTGCTGGCCACGTCGTGCCTGCGGGAGCTTTACGAGTACATGACGAACCCGCACGTCAAGCGCATCGGCACCAACGCCTGGGTGACCATCCTGGGCATCTGCGTGGAGTCGATTTGGATCACGAAGATGGCAGTGGAGGGGCATTACTTCCAGGACGTGGCCATGCCAACGCACATCGCCGTCCCGTGGATGGCAGCCATCGCCAGCTTTGCGGTGTGGCTCGTCTTGTACTTTGGAGTTCTCTCCATCGAGCAGCGCAACCGTCGCCGCGGACTGGCGTACTGCTGCGTCAACGTCTTCTTTTACGCCGCGGCGTTGTGTATTCTGGGCCTCTTCCTGATGGGGCTGCCGGACTTGCAGGTCGGCCGACGCACGTTTGAGGCGGCCGTGGCACCCTACGAGAAGTACATCTTCGTGTGGCGTTAGAGCCAGGGTCCGGATCGCGCAGCGCAGGCGCGCGCGTGTGCCGCTGCTTTCATGTGTTTCTTTCTGTTCCCGCTGCTCGCTTTTTGGATCTGCTGTCGAGTCCTTTCACTTACGTCGATATATAGATGTATATGATCTTCACATTGTGCGACCTATACCCACACCAGCACGAGTTCTTGAGCAGTTCCCGAGAACCAAGCAAAAAACGGATAATCAAAAGAAGAACCGGAGCCACGTACGAACGACGTTGTGCGGCCGTTGGTGGGAATGATGAATTCTCTACGACGACGCAACAAAACCGTCGTTCGCGTGTCATCGACAACAACTCGTCTGCGTTGGTTCACGCTTCTCTTCTCTTTTTTTAATTAATTCCGCGGTTGTTGGCTCTTGACATCGGTCGGCGCTACCTCACATGTGTGTGCGTGTGCGGCTTCCACGTTGAGTAGGGACTATTTTTTTTGACCCTCCTCTTAGCTGCGCACTTACCTCTACTTAGTTATTTAGAATTCTCTTCGTTCTGTCCGGGATAGCTTTCCAAGGGTGTGTTCGGCTGCACAGAAGCACCCGCCTACCCGCTGTCCGCCGCCGCTTCCTCCTCATCTCTGTGTGTTGTTGTTGTCTGTGTTGTTTCCGCCCTCGTTTGTGGGGCCTCCGCGTTTTCGCGATGGTGTGTGCAACGGCTGGTTTGCTGATCGGCCGTCGTTGGGGCTTCCCGTGCGTCACCTCATAATAAGGAACGAAAGGAAAGCAAAACAAGCGTGCTCTTCGGTGTGTGTACCAATGCTGGGAGGCACATACAGCGGCATTTTTTCTTAATGGCTGGAGCACACCCCACAAATCCGTCGTGCGTACGCGTTGGTGGGCTCCCTCTATGCAACTGCGTGGGCTTCGATGTCTAAGAGTTGTGGGTGTGTTCTCTCGGCGCTGAGTGCTTCTCCCCTCCCCGTTCTCTTTTCCTTTTTTGAAATAACGGCGACGAAGCTGTCTTCGGAGAACTTCCAAGGTAGAACATCTTGCGTTGTCGCTTCGGTCAAATAACGTGGTTCAGCTGCGCATTGCTTCACACAAACAAGCACACACACAAACACACACAGTCAGCAAAAAAGGGAGACACGTTAACAGAAATGCCTGCGTTGAAGCCGTTGTTGGTCTTCGGTCTTCGCGGCACGCTGATGGAGCGCATTCACGTTCGCAATGTCCCAGAGAATATGCCGGCGCCAGACCTCACTGTCGGCACCAGCAAAGTTTGGCTGCGGCCGCACATGATGGAGGTGCTGCGGGCACTGCAGCCGCACTGTCGCCTGGCTATTTGGAGCTCGACGACGGCGCGCAACTCGCACCCGCTGGTCAGCGCAGTGTTTGACTCCTATTTGCAGTCTCCCGCCGCAGCGGCGGCATCGGTGACTCGATCAGAAAGCAGTAGGGGAGGTGGGTTTGCGAAGACTCCGGTGCCGCCAACAGCAGCACCCTCCGCTACTGCTGCTGCTTCTGCGAGTGAAACGAGCAGCGGTCGTGGTGGTCGCTTTGACAAGAAGAAAAAGGCGTCACCCGCGGAGGAAGCTGTGACAGAGGAGGCCGCTGCGCTTGCCCCGATTCGTTTTGAGTTTGTGTGGACGCGGGAGCACACCCGGGCCGACGACTTCCGCCGTCTGAACGCGACCGTGCTGGACGACAACCACGCCACCGTGAAGGACCTCTCACAGCTCTTCGCGCAGTTCCCCGCGATCGCACAGCCGGAGAACACCGTCCTTATTGACGACACCCCAAGTAAGGCGAAGATGCACGCCGACAACTACTTGTGGCTGGATACATGCCAGGGGTTGAACGTGACGGAAACGAACGGGATGCGGCGGCTGCAGGAGTTTGTGATGCAGGAGCTTGTGCCGGCGAGGGACGTGCGAGACGTGCTGTGTCGACGCATCCGCAACGATTAACATGATAGTGAAAGAGAAAACAAATACAGACGAGGTCGTTGGTTTCTTTTCCTTTTCTCTTTCGCCGGACCGGCACTCCGTGCGTGTTTCTTGCAAAGCACAGTGCTCTGATCTCTGCGCGCACACCCCACAAACTCGCGTGTTTTCACCCCTGGTTTCCTCGCAGACGAAAGAAGAGAGGAAAGGCGATCTCCGTCTCTCTCTCCACCCACAGAAGCTGCATTGGCGGTGTTGCGTGGGATGGCGCAATGCCAAACCTCGCATACGTATTCACAGATGTGTGTTTTTCTTTTGGCGACATTTTTTTTTGTTAAAATTCTGGTGTTGGGCAGAGAGGACTGGATTGCGTAGGCGTGTCTGGTTGGTGCGTTGGTTCATGAACGCTATCTTCATTTTTAATCTTCTTTTGAAGTGTTTGCTCCGTCGTGGAAGCAACGCCGATTTTATATGCTGTAAGTTGTGTTGGAACGGAAGAGACCTTTCGTGTTCTGCCTCTGACCCGGTGGAGATGAGCGCTACACCTGTCGGTATTTCTTGTGTTTGGGAAGGGCGACATCAGGATGTGTAGGCTGACAGGGAAAACAAAACGGAGAACGTGCTTGGTTTATGCTATCTCAATGATGCCCGTTTCAGCTGCGCCTCTGCCCATGCTTTCACTCCGTTACTATTATTATTATTATTATTATTATTATTATTATTATTATTATTTGTCTCTCCTTCTTTCTCTCTTTGACCGCATCTTCGATTTGCTGTGCGGCTCGAACGCAACTTCAGAGCAGCCTGCACTGCGCCTTTTTCTGTTGTTGTTCTTCTGCGACTCGTGTTTGCGCGAATTGAACTCACTGCGTCACCGCACCCGTCTTGCACGCTCTCACACCGCCACCCTGGTGAAGCGAGGCGAAACACACACACACATACATATTATTGTAAATAAAAGATGTCTGTTACCACTTATGATGTGGCGGAGGAGGTCGACCTCTCGAAGCTCATCCACTTCGGCATGACCTTCGAGCCGCTGCAGCTCACACTGCGCGACATCCTGCGCCGTCTCGCGCAGCAGGAGCGGCACAACACGACGCAGGACGACCGCATTGCGCAGCTGAGCGCCAACGTCGACGACCTTGAGGCGGCGAATAAGGCGTTGGCGGCGAAGCTGGCGAAGCGCGAGGCCGCAGGGGATGGGAAGAGGCATCCGACGGCGGAGCACACGGAGGCGGCGGCCGCGGAGGCGGCGGCCGCGGAGAGCGGCAACCAGGGCTTCGACAGCGAAGCGATTTGGGACGAAATCGCGCGCCTCAACAGCGTGCTTGGAGAGCTGCAGGAGGGGGCGGAGCGCGACCGCCACACCATTGATGAGATCTACGCGGTGCGGAAGCGGCGTCAGTCGCAAGGCGCGACGGCGGTCGCTGCGGCAAAAGAGGAAGGGGAGCTGCAGAAAGAAGCCGAAGAGGGTGCGAAAACCGGGCAGGCCGATCGTAGGGTATCCACCGGCGTTGATGCTCAGACACCCCCGCCAGCTCGCACGCAGAGTGCGACCCGCCCGGTGAGTGGCGAGGAGGACGCCACCGCCGCCGCGACGAAGCCGGTGGGCGATGTGATCCTGGCGAAGGCCCACGAGAGCCTCGTGTTTGACTCCCCGAAGGTGTACACCGTCTTCGAGGAGACCGCGCCGATCACGGGGCAGCAGCCGCTGGCCTCGCGCGAGGGCTCGGCCGCCGCGGGTGGGGAGCCGTATGTGCAGCTGGCTCGCCCCCTCAGCGGCTCCGCTGCCTTCTCCGCAAGCCCTTCGTCTCGCCCCACCTCGCACGCGCACCGCCGCAGCGTGTACGCGGATCAGCGCATCGCCGCTGCCACGGCGCGCCGTGCCTCGCAGGCGTCGGGCGGTCTCGCAAGCGAAGCCGCCTCGCGCAACGAATCCGTCTTCGACAAACTGAAGCGGGATGGCGACGATATCGCGTACTTGAACCGTGTCGTGGCGGAGATCCTGGGCGAGATGAAGGGCCTGCACGCGGATGTCGATCAACTGCGCACGAGCCAAGCGGAGGAGACGGACGAGGAGGAAGGGGCCGCCGATTCGAAGACGTCGGGGGCCGGCGCGAGCGCTGCGGATCTGAGCGAGATGCGCCGTCGTCTTGCCCGCGTGGAGAGGGATGCCGTGGACACGCGGCAGCGACTGGAGCACCGCGACGACAGCCTGCAGGAGGAGCTGGACGAGTTGAAGAAGCAGCTGCGCGTCGCACGCGCGCTGACCGACGACGACCTCGATGCCGTACGTAACGTGCGCGACTTGGCCGATCGCCTCAAGAAGCTGGAGGAACGCGTGCGGCTTCTGGAGGCTGCCCATGGCGCGCTGGCAGGACAGTTTGAGGGTGTCCTGGCCATCGGGGACAAGGGCGAAGGCGGTGCCGCAGACATCAACCCAGTGCAGTTCGCTGCCCTGCAGGGCGCCGTGAAGAACGCGGAGAAGCAGCTGACCGATCTGCTCGCTGCGCAGGACGGACAGCAGGATTGGTCCGAGCAGATCCGCAAGTTGAACGACGCCGTCCGCGCCGTCGAGCGCGATGCGGAGGTCGCACGGGATGAGCTGCAGCGTGCGCTGAGGGAGACGGCGCGGCTAGACGAGGTGAAGGCGAACAAGTCGGACCCATCGCTCTCGCTGCTGAGCCAGAAGCGCCACAGCTCAGCAGACGGCAACGCCCTTGCGGATTTGGTCAGCCGCGTGGCACGCGCCGAGACGAGCATCGACCGTCTGAACGAGGACAAGGCGGACCGCTCCGCCCTGCAGAAGCTGCGCGATGAGCTGAACGCGCTGCGGCAGCTGGCCGAGTTGACCAGCGCGCAGCTGCGTGACGGTGACGGCTCCAGCGCCGCCCGCTCGTCCGCCGCGATGGAGAAGCTGCTGCGGGAGTTGCAGGTAGATGTGAGCGCGCTGAAGGACGCGCAGGAGAGCGGCAACCTCCTCCGCAACGGCGGCGGCGTAGGCGACGACATGGATGACTTGAAGGACCGCGTGGAGCGGCTGGACCACTGCAAGGCGGACGCCACGCTTGTCGCGAACAAGGCGGAGCGCGACTACGTCGAAAATGCGCTGGAGCGGCTGATGCGGGAGGTGGAGCAGGTGCTGAACGCGACGAACGCCGGCCTCATCGACACGTTGGAGAAGTCACTGAACATCTTACGCGACATGATCGATGGGAAGGCCACGAAGCAGGATGTGGCGAACCTGCAGGGTTGGATGGCGGAGACGAACGGCGCTGGCGGCCTCGGTGCGGGCGCTGCGGATGGGCTGACCGGCTTTAAGGGCTTTCGCTGCCTCGGCTGCAATCGACCGATGGACAGCATGCGTCCCCGCACCCTGCCCGCGACGATGACGCCTTTTCTTAATAGAAACCCTCAGAACTTTCCGCAGGACAACGTGACACGCACGATCCAGCAGCAGCAGCAGCAGCAACCGCAGCGCGTGGTCGGATCCGCGAGCAGCTTCACCGCGGGTGTGCGGAACGCAGGTGCGCCAGGTAGCACCGACGCCAATCTGCACCGCAGCACCAGTAGTGAACCTCTTCCTCCGATTGAGCAGTCGTAGCCGGTTACTGTTAATATTATTGTTGTTATTATTATTTTCTGGCCTTTCCCCGTCCTTCTCTGCCCTGTCGGATGGCGACGTACCTGTTGACTGCCTCATTACGTTGTGTTCTCCGCTATGATGGGGCGTTGCGTGCTCGCTCGCTCGCTCGCTTACTCCCCCCCCTCTCTTCTCTCATCGGTGTGAGGCTGCGTACGGGCAAACACATCGCGGAAGGGAAAAAAAAGTACCTTTTGTCTGACCACGCCCGGAAGACAAATCACGCAACAGATGACCCAGCGTGCCTGCTGTTCTGCGCCGTTTGTATTACTCATGTATTTTACTTTGACTTTGTCTTTTTTAAATCTTCTCTTTTATATTATTTCGTTGGCTCTTGATGTACAGCTTTGTTGTTGTGTTCCCCCGCCACCGCTGTTGTTTCTCTCTCTCTCTCTCTTACTCCCCCCTCGAGTGCGGTGTGGTGGTGGCGGCGGTGCTTCTTCCTGTTCAGTAGTGGGTGCTTTTTTTTTGTATTTTTACTTTCGACTGCCACAGCGGAGTTTGTAAACGACAGGACAGAAGAGAAAGGGAGAGGGGTGAGAGGTGGAGCCCTCGCATCCTGCACGCTGTCCGCTGCAGGGAGTGCTTTCATGCGGGAAAACAGGGAAAAGCTCTTTGAGCTTTCCCCCCTCTTCTTTTGTTCTTTTCGAGGCAACGGGGGCGGTTTGAGGCTGGTGACGATCGTTTCAGCCATTAGGTGGGTGTACCTCTCGTGGTTGAGTACGCTGCGTAGCCGTCTGTGCTGCGTTGGCTGTGTGCTTTCTGCAGCGTGTGAACCCCTTGCTGCTACGCGGGCTGTGCGTTGCCAAGTTCGGTTCTTGGTTGTTGTAAACGGTCCACTGACACACTACTACTTCGTCGTCTCTCTCTCTCTTTCTCTCTCTCTCTCTCTGTCCTTACCTTCCATCTGGTGCCGTCGTTCTTCATGTCTTTCTAATATATATATTCATATGGAGAGTTTTTCTTCTTGTGAGCTTCGCGGCGGTGTATGGGAAGGCGCCGCGTTTGGTGCGGAATGGATGCTTTATCGCTGTCGTAAAAGATCGAAAAGAGAAAATTGAATCACCTCCACGTAATTGGAGGAAACACACGCACACGCAGCTCTAAGGGAGGAGTGTCATGCATGCCCGTATTGAGCGAGCAGTGCACGCGGAGCAGCACGCCATCGCCGAGCACCGATTCCATGCGAAGGTCACAGCGTCGTTGCAGCACCTCGTCGCGGCGATACACCAGGCGCCGCCGGTGCTAGCGGCGAGTCCAGGCGCCGTGGACAGAGACGAGAGGAATGACGACGACGTCATCGCTTACTGGACCAAACCTGAGCTGCCGCGTGTGGTGTCCGCCTTGTGCGAGTTGGAGCGACTCGTGCAGGATCGCGTGTCGCCTGCTTTTCCGCAGCGCATGGGGTTTTCCCCTCCACACGACGAGTCCACTACTGCGAAAGAAGACGCAGAACACAGAACGTTGTACACCGCGTTGGTGGGCCAGCTGGTGTCGGAGCTCGTGGCACCGGTAATGAAGTCCTTCTGCGCTGCCAGCATCGCCGCGTTAGCGGAGCCGTCGTCCGCGGGGGAGGGCACCAGCGATGTGCAAGTGCGGTTTTCTACCACAGCAAAGGGTCTGTTCTCCCATGACGGTGCACTGCGCCTTCCGGCGGACGTCTACGTGGGATGGCGGTGCTGCTCTCGCCTGCTGGATTCCTTCCGACGACAGCTGGGTGTCAGCGAGGAGGACAGCGGTGCGGGGTGGTTAGATGCCGCGTCGGCAGTGCTGGACGGCCTCCACCGGACCGCGTTCCAGATCTCCACGGCGCCCGCGGGCCTGACAGTGAACGGAGGTGATTACAATACGATGATGCTGAGGATGATGACGAACTTCAAGCGGCGCGCGAAGGTCTGCGCACGCGTGGCGCACTGCTATTGGTGGTGGTGGCGCTTCACTTATGCCTTTGGTGAGGCGCGGGGATGGGTGGATGTGGCTTCGTCTTCTCCTCCTTCGACTCCATCGCCGACCAGCAAGGATGATTTCCTGCAGCTGTGGTGCACGGGTCGCCGGTGTGCGACGAGCCTCCTCAGCGGTGTGGTGTTGCCGACCGCCGCTTACGTGCTGCAGACGTCCATGGCGGCTTTGGTGTTCGACACCGACTACAACAAGTACATCAACGCTGGCGGCGCTGCTGCTGCTGCTGCAAGCGTGCGGGCTCAGTGCGTTGTCGATGCGGTTGCCGAGGTTCGCAAACTTGCCGCTGACGCTTTCCCTCACGTGGATGGTGTCGGTGTTGGTGTCGGTGTCGGTGCAGGTGCCCCAACCACCTCCGCACGCGGCGACAACCGCAGCAACAACGGTGCCGAGCGAGCCGCAACGCACGCGGCGTGCGCTTCCGCTGTCGGCAACCCCACGCCGGCGGTGATCGGTTTTGTGGGTCTCGTCGTGCACGATGCCCTCCGCCCTCTCGCCGAGCGGGTTCTCGATGATCCTGCCGCGCTTCTGGCACGTGCGCCTGCGGCCACCGTGGGGCCACATACAACGACCGCCACCGTTGCTGCTGCGGCTGCTTCACAGGATGGCTGGGACGAGAGTGATGATGGCGACTGGGAGGAGGTGCCGGTGCTGGGCAGCGCCACCCCGTCGGTGTCGCCTAACGTGCGTGACGACCACGCAGACGCAGAGAAGAGCAGCGCAGCGGAGACGGCGCGCGGCTCTGCTGTTGATCCTGCCGAGACAGCAGTAGCGGCAGTTACTTGCACACCATCATCATCACCGCAGTTATCGCCACCGGTGATCACCTGCGTGCGCGACGCCCTCGTCTTTGTGCTGGACACGTTGGAGGCACAATGTGGACAGGAGATGGTGCGACAGGACACTATCGCAATGACGCTGAGGCGACTGCTGTAGCGGTTAGCGGATTCATTGTTTTCTCGTCACTATTTGCGTCCCGATGCTCTTTCTTGTTTTTCTTTTCATTGTTGTTGAAGGAGGCTCCCCCGAAAGAAAAAGACATCAACACGTTCGTGGCGAATGCCGCCTCCGCTGCGTATTTCAACGCGTTCTGACGCCTTTGCAAACGTTGAAGCCGACTCGCAGCGCCTCTTGTCGTGCGATAGAGAGGTATCCGCACCAACGTCTCGGTTTCACTCCCCTCCCCTCCTCCTCCTCCCTTTGCTCCTCCCGCGCTCGTACGCTCGCCCCTCACTCTCTCTTCGCCTTACTTTCTGATATTCGCCCGCCCTCCTTCTGTGCCCGACACACAGCCGTACGCCGTCGTGTGCGGTGCAACGTGTACGCTTTCCCCCCCCCCTTCTCCTCCTTCCCTCCTCTTTTTTTTTGTTTTGGATTACTCAACGCATCCGCACAGCCTTCGTGTTCTGTTGTGCTTTAGAGGTGTTCTCCTTCTCCACACACACACACACACACACACGCAGACACCCAACGCATCCGTTGCAGCCATCAGGAAAGCCTAATCTGGAGTGATTCAGGCGTGTCGAGTGTGATCCCTTCGGGTCAGTTGGAATGAATCTACCTTTCTCCCTGCCAATGCATCTACTCTCTCTCCCCCCTTTCTCCTTTTTTACATCTTTTTACACATTTCGTGAAGCCTAGCGCTTTCGTTTTGGTCACTTGACAAAGTTTTTTCTTGCCACCCACCCACCCAGTCCAGTTATTGTTTTTTGTTAATCGTTTATCGGGTCTCATCGTTCTCTGAGTTTTTTCTTTCTTAAATCTGTCGGGGGCTTTGAAATTTTTCCCCGTTATTTTCTTTCTCATTGTTGTCCTAAGTCGGAGCGAAGGTTACCTGCCTAATTAAGGGTGCCTAGTTAACTGCTCCTGGACGTTTGTATTCTTTTCACCACGATCCTGGGCAAATGGCCACGGGATCATTAACACAAGAGATGGAGGTCCGGCCGAGTATTGGTTTAACAAAATGTTGAGCGGGGGTTTTGACTGTGTTTTTCCCTTGCTGTCCGTTGTTCTGCGGATTACTTGGCCGTGACTCTCCCTAGTTTTTTCTAAACCTTAGTTTGTATCTAACCCAGCGCTGCGAGCGGAACTAGTCGGGTAGTTCCCCCGCGGTAGCTGGTCTCGCCACTGACTATGAATAATGCAAGTAATGACCGATATGTTGTACTCTGAGGGAGCATGCGAAGCAGGGGCCCCAGAAAGTAGAACAAATCCTCCTCCTCCACCCTCTCTCTCTCTTAGTTAGGTGACAAGGCACCCGTCGATATATATAGATCTATAGATATATCTACTTCTGCAACTCAATCCGGCCTCCTTCCTTTCCTTCCTTTCCCACTTTGGACGACGAAGTCTTTTATTTATTCCCCTTCTCTCTATCTCTTTTTTTCTCGAGTACGGCCCGCTGCTGTGTATATACATACATACCTACGCATACACGCATTCAGAGTTTTTTTGTTCACGGCATGGCAAGTCCGGTGGAGCAGGCGCTGACGGCCTACACACCCGTCCCACCGCCCCCGATCAGCAGCAGCGGCAGCCGCCCCTTCCAGCGCATCGCTGTCATCACCGCTGAGCCGTACGGCGGCGGTGGACCTCGCACATCCCCCTCCCGCTCGTCTTCGTCGTGGGTCTCGCTGAGAGAGTCGGTGGAGGAGCTCGACATGCCGCCGCTGTCGGCGCCGCAGTCTTTGAGCTTGCCGATGACAGCGCCGCCACCGACGATGCCCCGGATGGGGGAGTACGGGGGACCGCCGTTCGCACTGTTGTCCGCCGAGGTGATCCACGCGACGGCGACTTCGCCTTGGTTGTCTGCACGGGGGCAGGGTGGGCGGACGGCGCAGCGGAACACACCGTCGGTGACTCCATCGCGCGACCGGCGCAGCGTCCCGCTCCTCGCCTTTTCCACATCCCCGCTGGCGCCGGCCCGTGTAGGAGGCGGCGGCGGCGGCGGCGGTGGGACGACGGCGGCGGCATTGGACCGTTCCGGCACGAGTGGGAGCGCGGCAGTGGTGCCCAGTGGCCCCCTGGCTGGCGAGAGGCCGAAACGTGGAGGACGTCTCCCCTTCCCTTCCTCCGCATCTCCGCCAGCCAACGCCGCCAACGCTGCGGCCACCAGCTGGTTGCGCGCGTGCACCGTCACGGATGAGCTTCGCACAGATCAGCAGCCTGCCCTGCCACAACGCACCTACCAAACACCGCTGGCCCTCTTCGTTGACTACGTACCCTCGCCCCCAAAGAACGACTCGTTGGTGCTGCACCCGACCGGCTTCAGCGAGAGCGGCTGCGGTGTTTCGTCGTCGTTCGGCCTCTCCCGCACTACGCGTTCCGCCTCGTCAGCCGACTTCTCTGCCACGTTGCGCACCTGGGGCTGCCAGCGAAGTACGCAGCTGAACCACTCTGCCACCTCCTCTGGTCCCATCAGCCAGCACACCAGCACGCCTCCTTCGTCCGCGTCGTGCGACGCCGCGGCCACGACAGACGCCGACGAGCCGCCGTCCGCCCCACGTGCGACCTTCGCCCCGGTCCCGCCGCCGCCGCCTCCGTCCAGCGACACTGCAGCTCCACGAGGAGAGGGCGGTGCGAGCGGCTCTGCCACGGCGTGGGGTGCACAACGGCGGCTCACGCTGTCGCCGGCTGCGTTGGCGCTGCCCAACGGATATCCACCGTTGGACCTCGACGCATCCACGGAAAGCGTGCCGCCACACGTCTTTCACGTGTCCCCGCGTGCGCCTGCCGCGGCTGCCGTGACTCACTCGACGAGTGGTCCGTCCTCCGCTCACAGCAGGGTGTTCCGCCATCGCAGAGACGCCGTTGGGAGGTCGGAGAGGGCACGTCAACGTGGAAACGCTGGCCGTTTGTGAGAGGACGAGACTCATGGTCTAAATAGGAAAGAAAGCAAGACATACGTTCTGCTTTCGCCCTTTGTGGGTAACAGCTTTTAGAGCTTTTCCTTCTTCCCTCCCACCCGCTCTGTTCCGTTGGCGTTGCGATTGGCAAATTCCTGTGCAGATGCGTGCGTGCCCGCGTACATGACACACGGACACTCGCGCCGCCGGGTGTCCATCTTGAGCGAAGACGTCATCGACGTTTGCTTGTATTGAAGTATCAAAAGGTTTCCTTTTCTTCTTCGCTGTTTGGCGTGCTTGACGATTATACTTCTCCTCTTGCTTCCTGTCTTCTACTGTTCTGCCTTCCTCTCGAAACACGCCTTCTCTGAACGTTTGAAGGGATGGACAGGAGTTTTTGTTGTCACGAACGCTGTAAACTTTGTCATTCATGTTTTTTGTTTTTTCCCTTTTCTTTGATCTTGTATTCGTGTTTTCTTCGAAGGCCGTAGTGGACCCCGATGCGTGTATTCCCGATCCCTCGCTTCTCTCACCTGCAGCTTCATTTATTGTAACTCCAACATCCGTTTTTTTTCTTTCTGTTGTTTTTCTCTCCTTTAGCTCTTGACGTCGAACAGTTCTCTCCTGTCCGGATTTGGCTAAATCGCGATCCCTCTCATTCGATTTCTTCTATACTGCAACTATTTTTTTTTCTCCTTGGTGTTGGGGTTTTTCGCGTTTCCTGCCCCTGTGGCGACCGGGGAGGTTGGCGCGTGAGCCCTTGTTTAGAGTCTGGTGTGTGTGTGTGTGTGGCACCGCGCCTCAAAAAGGAAGTTTTTGAACAACACACATTACCCGTTGACAAAGTACGTGGAACGCAGCTGATGGATACAGACATGTGATGGCTTCTTATTGCGGCGGTGGTGGTGGTGGTTGGCGTTTGGTGGGTCTTAGTTCATTTATTTATTTATATGTCCCCAGATTCTCGTAGTCTCATCCGTGCATTTTTTTTTCATTTCTTTGTTGTCTTTCATGTTTCTATCTCACTCACACTTATTCGCCATTCGATGGAAGTCGAAATTATTATTACTATAATTTGTATTGGTTTTGTTTTCCCTCTGTGTACGTCTGTGTCTCCAGCTGCGGTTGCGATGCTTGCTGTCACCGTCACTCTTTTATTCTTTTTTTAATTTCCTCCACAACCTTTTCTTTTGTGCAGATTCTTCCCTTTTCTTTTTTGTATATCGAAATAAAGAAGTACTCGTGGGTTTCTCCCTCACCCCCGCCTCTTTGCTTTTGATCGGTACGTTGGGTCACGAATGCTGAATGCGTGTCACCGCTATCACACGTCTTCGGCTACTCCGTGTTGGTGCGTGTGTGGGAGTTTCTAGACGAACATGAAACAAACAAGGACGCTTTTTTTTGTTCTTCCCCCCCCCCTCCCTTCAACGCACCCTTTCTTTGTCCCACGCGTGCTGTTCGATAGCAATGTATCAATTTGTGTATTCCCTCTGTGCTTTGGTGTATTTACTTTTCACCTTTCATGTACATTTCTCTCTCTTTCTTCTTTCTTCTTCAAGCGTACGTGTTGCTGACGGTGCGCTTCTCTGTCGAACTTTTTTTTCCCGGGTGTGTTCATCGTTTTTGAATCATACAACTTAGATTTATCTCACCAGGGGTATGTGCTTGTTATCGCAACAACTCTTTCTCTTCTCTTTTCTTCTCTTCTTCGGGCGTGTTTCGTGTCTGCTCTTCAAAATTTAAAATTCTAGTTTCTTCTTCACCGTCTCTACCCTTTTTTTCCCCTTGGTCGAGACGTCGTTCGTTTCGCAGGGTGCCGTTTTTATTGGTTTCTTCACCTCTTCCCCCCCCCTCTTTTTTCTACCTGTCTCTTCCATTTCTATATGTGAATCGGTGCGCAGATTCTTCGTGGTGCTCTATTGGCGTCTCCACCTCCTTCTCTTCTTCGTTTTGTCAGCCGAGGTTGGCGCACGACGGCAGAACACCGTTTTCTCTGCGCCACCCTCTGTTTTTGTTTCCGGAAATGGCAATCGTATTGATAATAATAATAATAATGGTCATAGCACTAATAACGTGTGATGTGGGATGAAAGTCAAACAGACAGTCATGAGAGTAACGCCTCTATTATTATTTTTTAAATGCTTTTCGTGGCTTCTTTTTTCTTCTGGTGTTTTTGGTTCTACTCCGAGCTCCGCAGGTGGTCTAAGAACATATTGTTTACGCTTGAGAAGAAGGAAAACAAAAAAAAAACTCGTTGACGGAGCCGTGCGTTTCTCTATATGCTTCTGCGTCAGCGTGCCTTGTCTCTTAAACATCTTGTAACCTACATAGTTTTCTTCCTCGTACATAGACTCTGTTTTGGCAGTCGAAGAAGAAGCAATAACTCCCATTTCACTATTCAGCATTTTTTTTGTATGTTTCGTTTGTTAGAAAAAGAATTATACGGGGTCTTTGTCTGTGATTGCTTTCGTCGACACTTTTTTTTTCCCCTCTCGCTTTGGTTTGTTTCAACAAGAAGAAACAAAGAAGAAAAAAACCTCTCACGTTACCATCGACGCTGCCTTTCCTTGTGCACGTAGCCCTTCCCCTTTTTGGCGCGTTCTCTTCTTCTCTCCCTCCGCTGTGTTTTTCCACTTTGATGCCGTGGTGCCGACCCTTTCACTCGTCATCAGTTCTTCTTGTATATGGCTTTACTAAGGCAGGAAGTCGTGAATGGAAAGGAAAGAAGTACGAAAAGAGAAGCGTCTTTTTCTATATTGTTGTGCGACCTTTCTTTCCGTGTGTGGTTCGTAAAGCCACGGCCGCTACATCGGCAAACCTCACGCAACGGAGGACGCCGTAGCGGCAGCGACGACGCGCGTGTTTTCTTTGTTCACTTATTTATGTACTTCTTGCCGGTTTGTGGTGATGGATGCCCACAGGCAAGTTTTTTCTCTGTCCCGCGTAAACGTGCTTTCGCTCCCTCTTCTTAGTCTCGTATCGACAATGCAAATAAATCATAATAAGATTCGTAGAACGCGAAATGGAAATGCATAGAGAGGTCTATCCTCAGTTCGGTGTCTCGCGTGTTGAAAGGCTGTCATGCTTCTCGTTGTGCGTTGCTTTTTAAATATTATGTCTGATCGCCCAAGTCATCTCCGTGCTTTTGGTTATGCTGCCGCGGGGTGGGCGTTGTCGTTCCTTCGCCTGCGTCATTTCCTCTCTCACCTCCTCTTTCCTTCCATTCTATCTCCTTTTCTGTTTCTCTTTCTACGCTGATGCGTGTTTATTTCTATTTCTTTTTTTCTGGGCGATTTCGCCGTCCTTTCCGCTGACAACGCTGTTCGACGTCCACCATCTCTCTCTCACAAACACACACACATCTCGTGTCTTGCCGTGGTTCCGTGCGGTGCAACATTTGGATTTGGCCGCCCGCGTCATCTCGATTGCGCAAACTCTCTTCAGCAAGAGAACAAACGTTGGCGGACGAGCTATCAAACAACAACGACGCGGAAAGCAGCGCTCCTATTTCTACGTCTACAACAAGAGCGCGAGGCTGCCTTTCAAGCGACCTACTCCGATACAATACGATCTCCTTACACCATAGACACCGTCATACAGCTCCTGTCGGATCCACACACTTCTTCTCTTAATCCCATAGAAAGCGCACTCTCAACCGAAGCCGGAGACACGCTTCTCTCCACCAATAAATAAATACCAAATAATTAATATATCCTTGTCAAATGTCCGACGACGAGCCAAAGTTTGACTTCAGCGAAGGCACCGGCGAGGCCCTCGGCAGCCTTCCGTGTTTCACCGTCGTTGGTCCGCGCAGTGCGGCCGGCAAGGCGCTGGAGACGGCGCTGGAGCCCCTTCACCGCCTCGTCTACGGCCGCCCTGGCATGAGTGGGGAACGTCGTGCGGCGCTCGAAGACTTCAAAGGCTTCCCGCCTGCCATGAAGGCAGAGGTGGAGGAGAAGATCGGCAAGCTGACGAAGGATCGCCTGCGGAACGTTATTCAAGCCCTGGGCCTCGCCCTGCCGATCAGCCAACTGCGGGCTGAGCTGGTCGCCGGTGTCGTGGCCTTCCTCATGGCGCCGAAGGATGAGGGCAAGTTCACGGACCCCAAGGCCGCTGCGCCACCAACGAAGAAGAGGAGGTCCGCATCTCCAAAGAAGGCCGCACCGACCGGAAGAAAGCGCCCCGCTGAGCCGTCGCCGTCGCACGCCAAAACAGCGGCGGCGAAGAAGCGCATCAAAAAAGCCAAACCCGAGTCCGCCGAGGCAATCACCGGACCGGCATCAACGACATCATCGACACGCTCTGCAACGGCCAGCGAAGGACCGAGTGAGGCGGTGGTACTCGTCGAGGTGTACCACCGCGTGTTGGCCATGCCGCACGAGGAGCGCGCTGTGTTCGGCGTCAAGGCGCTGCGCACGAGCCTCGAGGACCACTTCCGGCTGCCCCCTGGTGGGCTCCAGTCGCAGAAGGAGGCGATTACGGCGACGGCAGCGGACTGCGTGCGAGCGCTGCGGGAAGCGGAGGAGCGAGCCGTCGCGGCGCTGCCATCCGCCACGGCGGCCACAGCAACACCACGCACCCATTCCTTTGCAAATGCGGAACCAGTCGAGCCTCTTGCGGCGGGTCACGTCGCCCCACTGCCTTCTGGTGCGACGCCTCTGTGAATCCTACAAAGAAAAGAAAAAAGACACGAGGAGGTACGCAAGGAGTCTACCTTACTCGTTGTGGAAACCGACTTAGTGCGAGAAAATGTGTGTATTATTATCTTTGTCTCAGAGCGTCTCTGGCTGGGACGACACCTACGATGGCGCGTCGAGTGCTGTTTGCGCTAAAACAGCACCGCAGTGCTTTTTATCGAGGTGGGTCTCATTGACGCTTTATGAAAAAAAAACTTGCTTTCGAATCCCCGCCGCCCCAGCAACAATCTTCGCCAATGCATTTTCCGGCCTCTGCGCTTTTGTTGTGTTGCGTGCCATCACCAATGCTCTCGTCGCCACCTCTCTGAGGCGCGACCACGCATTCGTTTGTTCCCACGCGCTGCCCGGTACGAGAGCGAACTGCTGCGATGTTTATCGGCCTTCTTTTTTTTTTGAAGATCCACCTGTCCTCCTCCTTCGCCGCTCCCTCCTTGTATTTCCACCCCAAAAAACACTTCTTTCCGACTCCCCGTGTGCCGAATCTTCTTGCATCGGCCCGTTGATCCGCAGTGGGGCTACCCCATTTGAAATTCCACCGTTCAGTGTACTCCTCATTCTTTTTGTTTGTCTTCTCGGCGTAGAGGTTCTCTGCTTCGTATTGCAAACTGCGTTGCACGCGTCGTGCTGTTCTCCCTTTAAACCGCTTTAGATCTGACCAGGAAAAAGAAAGTTGAGATGGCGCCTCGCTCTCTGGCAGGATGGAGCAAAGCATTGTTTCTGCTCGGTGCCTTGCTCCTCTTCTGCAGCGCCACGGTGAACGCCGCCAACGTCGCCGCCTTCGCCGCCGCCATTCAGTCGGCGCTCCGCAGCATCGCACCGGGCTTTGTGACATACTACTCGGCGCTGGTCGGCGCCCCTGCCGTGAAGGCGCACTTCTGCACCAACAGCATCCTTAACATGGCTCCTGGTCTGGCGCTCACGATGGAGTCGATCGGCGCGCCGTACGGCATTCAGGCCACCGCCGCGGGTTTGGTCATTTACAAAGACAACTTCGTCTACGGCCCTGCGATGCACCTGATCGGAACCAGCTACCGCATCGCCGACGGCAGCCCGGCAACCGGCGTGCAGCAAGGCAACAGTCTTCTGATGCCCTACACGCCGAACTCCATTGTGATGGTGACGGGTACCATGACCAGTGGCAACAACACGAACATCCTGCCGCTGGCAACGTATATGATTCTGGAGGGCTATCTGTGCAACTCCATGTACGCCGACACCACCAGCCTCTCCGCACCGCTGGCGGACCTCTTCACCGCGTTTGCGAATGCCGCCGTTCCGTCGTAGATTCAACGCTATTGCTGTTTTTCCCGTTTTCATTCTTCTTCGTCTCGTTGATGCTGTGTCGGGGCCGGCCGATTGCGGCGAGTTGTGGGAACAGTGGAATGAATGAGGAGCCACACGCACACAGGTATGTATGTGTGTTTGTGTGCCGATTTGTTAGAGCCGTGCAGAGAGGGACGGAGGGAGCGGGACGCCAACACGCGTCCTTTTATGACTTTCTCTTTTGTCGCTTTGTCTGCTCGGTCTTTTTTGTGTGTAGAACATCGTCGTCTCTGTTCTCTTCGCTTTCCTTTGCTTTCTCCTCATCGTTTTTTCTTTCTTTCCGTTGTCAGCGGCGGTTTCATTGCCGGCGCCGCAGCGCAGGCGTCTTCGCTTTGTTTGGTTGTTTGGCGGCGCTGTTTTATTCAAATCTATTTTTGCTCCCCCTTTTTTTTTAGAGTTCAACAAATAAGCCAGAGGATGAATAGATGAGGGACTCCGCGTGCGGTGTCAACAACCATGAAGAATTCAATGCCGAAAGAAGTCTTGTTCTGAACACCCACGAGAGGGAGGCAAAAAGAGTTGAGATGCTTCTTCAACGTGTAGAAGATAATGCGAAGAGGCCACACGACTAAGGATCGAGTTTCCGATGCACTGTCACCATTCCCTTCCGCCTACCCCCCCCCCCTCCCAACCTGTACTGACTTACCCCCCCCCCCCCACCACACACGTATCTACCAAAACAATAATAATAATGGCAATGCTAAACATCTAGTCTGGCTTTTCTGGTAAAACACTGGCCCTTTACAGATTTTAGATTCAACATGACCTTTCTTGCCTCTCGCCTGCTGGTCGCGGCGGTCGCCGTGTTGGTGACGCTGCTGCTGCTCTCCACGCCCTCCACCGCCACCCTGCAAACCTTCCTTCAGCAGTACCAGGCCATTATGGAGTCGGCGGGGCCCGGCTTCGGCGCGTTCTTCGACGACGCCGTGTCCCTGCCGACCACCTACGTCTGGAGCTGCCAGAATGCCACGGGCACCGGCGCGACGGTGGCGTACGCATCGGCCACCGCGCCCTATCAACTGACGGTGTCCACCGTGGCACTCACCGTGCGGCCCGTCACCCCCAGCCCCACCGTGACGTACGAGCTGCACGGGCACTCGTGCGACTTCTACGGCAGCTGCGGCCCGATCCAGATCGGCACCGCGCCCGCCTTCGACGCCGCTCCGAATCACGTGATTATGGTGGTGGGGAAGATGACGAGCAACGGCGTCGTGAACTTCCTGCCGATGGCGTACTATGTCGTGCTGCCCATCGCCTCCTGCTCCTCCTCTGGCAGCGCGGCGGTGGACACCGTTTTTCGCAGTGACGGTACGGTGACCTTGTAGAATCATCAGCGAATCGAAGCGCACGCATCGATCTGCCTTTCTCTTTTGTCTTTTAGAACACGGTCGTAGAATTCATCTCTTTGTGTGTCTTGTTGTGTTGGCTGTAGCCGCAATGCCCCCTATCCCCGTTCTGCTTCTTCCTTCTCTCTCGCTATCACCCTCTCGCTGCGTACATGATCTCCTGTGGTGTGTGCACCCCCCGAATACATGTGCTGACGAACGCGGAGAGGGGTGGGGTGCGAGTTTGCGTGTGCTGTTCTGTGGTTTCCCCTTTCATCGTCTTCTTGGGTTTTTCCCTTCTGATATCTCTCCTCTGTTTTTGTGGTTTCATTCGCTTTCATCCTGCAAGAGAGTGTGATACGCAAGGGCGAAGCGCGACCGGTGTTCTTCGCTTTCCCAGTTCACCGTTGTGGGGGCTGTATGCCTCTGATGCGCGCCGCAGCGCCGCCTCTGTCAGCGACTGTCTCGACAGTCCGGAGAAAACAGAAGCCAGCGAGGAGGCGACTGATCTCCTTCAAGAAGGAGAACAACGCGAAACTCACACTTGTGAGGTCGCAAGAGCTTAGAGAAAAATACATGGTCATGGATTAAATAGGCCGCTTTAGGGAGAGCAACATTCATTGCCGTATTACTTCTTGCGAACGCCTCCTCTCTCTCACCCGCCTTCTCTCTTCTCTCTTCTGTTGGCTTTGCCGTTTAACTCTGCTTCCATACACCCACACCCGCACCCACATGCACGCCCCAACTACCCCAACTCTTTCTTCTTTTTTTTTTACGCCGCACAGCCTTTTAGATCATGCAGATCTTCATCAAGAACGCCGCCGGCCGCACGGTGGCGGTGCGCGTGTCCGCGGAGGACACCGTGGCCGCCCTCAAGGCGCAGGCCAACGTCGCGGAGGGCAACCTCTTCTTCGCTGGCATGTGCCTCGCCGAGGAGGAGACCCTCGCCGCCTACAACCTGGCCGCCGAGTCCACCATCGACGTGGTGGTGCCGGTGGAGGGTGGTAAGGGCAAGAAGAAGAAGAAGCGCATCTTCACGAAGCCGAAGAAGCCGACGCACCGCCACAAGCTGGAGAAGATGCGTGCCCTCAAGTACTTCAAGGTGACGGAGAACGACGACGGCTCCTACAAGGTCGAGCGCACTCGCCAGGACTGCCCGCACCCGCAGTGCGGCGCCGGCGTGTACATGGCGCAGCACAAGGACCGCCAGTACTGCGGCAAGTGCCACCTCACCTACAAGTCGGAGAGCAAGTAAACGCACCAGCAAGGCGAGAAGGAATGCTCAAGAGCAAGGCAGCGATGTGTGTGCGAGCTCGGGATAGACGACACTAACGTGTGAGTGAGTGCGTCTTTCATCAGAGAGAACAATGCTCTTGCGTGGCTTCGCATTCTTCCCTTCTCTTTTCTTCCCTCTGCGTTTAGTTGCGTGGGTGTGTGTTCGTGCCACGTCTTCTTCTGGGCGCTTCTCAGGCAGCTCCGGTATGATCGAATGGGGCGTCGAACACGAAGTGATTTATTTCGTGTTTCCTACTTTACGTGTTATTTTTCTTTAGCTTTACCCTTAAAAAAAAAACGAATCAACGGAGGCGCACGCATCCGACGACGACGACGATAGCCCGTCCAGGAAGTCGTCGTGCCGACAACGAGTAGAAACGGACAGTGTGAATACGCACCTAAACATGCTACCGGGAGCGCAGGCTCTTCTGTTCGATGAGAGACGCTTTTGTTGGTGTATTCAAGCAAACGCGAGACGAGACGTGGCTCCGCCCGCGCTGTACTTCTACTCGTCAGCGCGCCGCATCTTCGGCCCGTGGGGCACGAGTGCGACCCTTAGCGACACCTGTGTTCATTTCGACGTGCTTCGAACTCCTCTCCTGCCTCTCCCTTGCTTCTCTTTTCCATTCGACTCGCGTGCCTTTTGTTGGGTTGCGTGCGAAGCGCGAAGCCAATATCTGCACTGCGAGCAAATCCTTTGACTGCCTTTTCTACATGAACCCCGACAGCGCTCTCCTGCTTCAAACCGTGCTGGGCGAGCGAGGCTGCGTCGATGCGACGCTGCAGGACACCGCTGCGACCGTGCCATTTGTGTACCGCGTGTTGGCGGAGCAGAGCGTGTACGTTGTTTACGCCGTCTCCGTCATGAAGGCCCTCCTGCATGAGAAGGACGCCGCCTTTGCCCACCTGGCGCGCTGGCAGGCTCAGCGCTCCGCTCCCTCGACTACGACCACAACGGCCTCCCCACCACTCACACGATCTTCACGCCCCAACAGCACACCGACTCCCGCAGAGAAGACGTTGCTCGGCGTCCCGGCTGACCTCCCCGCTGTCGCGCCTTCCGATTCCCTTGACCTTTTCGTCACCATCATCGGCGGTGGCACCTGCTGTGAGCTGCTCCTCCGTCTCCTCTGCGAAAATAACACCGACAACAGCAGCAGCAGCGGTGCGCTGGCGCATCGCCTTGTCCATCCCTCGCACCTCTCCGTCGTAACACGGCAGCCGGAGCGACTGGCACGACACGCCCAGCGCGGCGTCCACTGCCTCAAGCGCCGCCACGGCCGCACGGCGGTGATGCGCAGCGACGTCGTGCTGCTGACATGTCCGCCGGCGCTCTTCCGCGAGGTTGCCAACGACGTGAACACGCCGCAATCCGTGCCTGCCGCAGCGGCGGGCGCGATGGGAGCGGAGCGGCCCACAGAGGCGACCAACACGCCAAAAGCGAGTCCTGCACCGGCATCCAATGATAGCGCGGCGTCGCCGTCGTCAGTTCTGCAGCCAACGGCGGTGTTGGTGTCGTGCATGGCCGGAGTGCCCGTCCGCAAGGTGGCCATCGCCTTCCATCGCACACCGGAGCTGACGCTGACGATGCGTGTTGCTCCGCACGACGGTGTCCTGGATGACGCGGACGCCGCCGCAGCAGCAGCGATGGAGGAGGACGAAGAAAACGGCGACGGCGGCGCGTCAGCTTATGGTTGCACGCCGCCGTCGCTTCAGCAGGTGGCCCGGCTCTATCAGGACGCGTCTGGGCAGTACAAGGAGGCCCGCATCGCTGATATGCGGTGCAACATCTCCTTCTTGCGGCCCGCCGTGCTGCAGCAGCAGCAACTCTTGGCCAAGCAAGCCGCACGGACGACGTCCCACGCCGCACGCACCGTGCGATTTGCCGGCCAGGGCGTGTGGGGCGCGGCGGACGCGCCGGGGCACGGTACGCACAACCCGCCGCGTAGTGCGGTGGGCCCGTCATCGGTGCTGTCCCGCCTCGCCGCCCCACGTCTGACGGACTTCACCGCAGGACATCACGCGGCGACGGCGCCCTCCCTCGCCACCTTCCTCGACCTCTGGCGGCGGCTGCAGTCGTACGTGCGGGCCACCTTTGCCGAGGCCTTGCAGAAGGCTCGCTCGCACGGGCACGGCGCGAAGACGGCCAGCAGCGGCCTTATCAGCGTGGTGCTACCAGAAAACGCGTACGCATCCCCACGTGCGGCGGGTGAGGTGGAAGCGGAGCTGCTGCCGGCGCTGACGCTGCTGCCGGCGTCCAAGACGGTGCTGGTGTGGGAGGCGTGGTGGGGGAGTGGCATCGACGGCGGCGACCGGGGAGGGTCTGCCGCTGCCTCCTCCGCGACGGACGCGCAACGAGGCGACGACGACGTCGACGACGCCCGCACGACGCGTAGCTCGACGCTCTCTCCTCAGGTGACGGCCGTGACGGGTGCGTGGCTCCGCAGCGTCTACGCCTCCGATGCCGCGCTTATGGCAGACTTGGAGCTGCAGTATCAACGGGTGCTGGAGGGGCCGCCGCCGTGCATTTACTGACGGACGTAGCGAGCGCTGTAGCCTCTCGTGCTTCCACAGACGCAAGAAATTGAGCCAGGCGCAAGCGAGGGGATTTCGCTGACTCTTCTTTGAGGTTTGTTTGTTTGCTTTCCTGTACAGTTCTCTCTTGTTTCGGTTCTGTTTTTTTCATTGCCATTCCTCTCTTTCCCTTTGGATTCGTTTAAGTCGATGTACACGAGCGCGTTACCAAACAACACTAAGCAATGAGCAACGGGCGGCCATTACCGATCGTGAACGGGGCGGCTGATTGGCACTTGCCGGGGAGCCGTTATGCACCGCAAAAGAATGAAAGCGGTACGGAATGAAGGGGTCACATCGCCGTGCTGACCTTTTTTTTGTTCCTGCTGATATCCGTGGAGCTCGTCTTCTTCATCTCATCCCCAACAAAATAATCCATCATCTTACATACCTCCATTGTTTGTTGTTGTTGTTGTTGGTGGTGGTGATGGTGATGATGTGTGTGTGTGTGTCCTTACCGACAAGCGATCGGAGCGCCAATTCAGAAAAAGAAAACCAAACAAAAAATATCCAACGCAGACGCAGCGGGGTGAAGGGTCACGAAAGGGAGAAGAGCAGAAGGACGTCTCACTTGTGTGTGTTCCCCTCCAAAAAAAGCACGTCAGAGGCTGTTGGATCCCACTCCCCATACGTATTCTTTCTGTTGGGTGTTCTCGCCAGGTGCTTCACTATCCAACCAAGAAAAAAATGTCGTCGCTTCTGCAGTGCACGGATGACCTGCTGCAGCAGAAGGCGATGCAGTCGTCGCACTACGAGCGGTTGGAGCGGCAGCTGCTGGACCGGGAGCGACGACGGCGTGCGGTGGTCATGACGCTGAAGCAGCGCATCGCGGATGTGGGGCGGCGCGGCAACGACGTCGTCGACCTCCGCCGCGAGAACCGGCAGCTGGCCGATCAACTCGCCCAACACGCTCTCCAGTTCGCCGCACTGCAGTGCCGCGATGCGGAGGCGCAGAAGACACGACGGGGAGCGGTGGAGAGGCTGCAGGACGGTGTGCGGAGTTGGTCGGGGCACCCCGCGCAGATCGTGTTGATTCTTCAAGCACTGGAATGGCAGAAGAAGCTGAGCACAGGTGCGAGGAAGCTGCGGCGTGCGCTGCGGTCCATTGGGCAGACGCTGCAGCTGCATCGACAGGTATGTGTCTTTCACGGACGCTGCACCGCTGTGATGCGGTGGCACCACACGTGCGCGGCGTGCCTCACGGTGTCTCTGCGGGAGAGGATGCAGACCGCCACGCAAGCACGGAGTGCGGCGCTGCAGGAAGCAGCGGAGGCTAACGCGCAGTGCGCCGGCCCACTGACGGAAGAGCGGTTCCACGCGGAGCGGACCGGTGTTGCGCTGGAAGCTGAACTCGACCTCTTCCACGCGTACGCAGACAACCTTACCGACATGTGTGAGATGGCGAATGAGGAGGTCGCAGCGCTGTCGTCGCTGGTGGACACGGAAGCAGACATTCTGGCGGAGGGGGAGGCAAAGCTGGAGGCCGCGGTTGCCACGGTCACGCAGTCCGCCGACGCGCTGTCCGTGCAGCGAGAGACACACGCACGTGCCTTCACTGACCTCACGCAGCAGCGGCAGCAACTCACAGCGGAGATAGCGAAAGCTGAGGCAGTGGCCACCACAACGCAGGCATGCGTACGCGAACTAACAACATTACGCGACGGTACGCAGCAGCACACCCACAAGGTTCTTCGCCAGATGCTGACGGTGGACTTCGTGCTGGCGCTGTGTGACCGTGTTCACCAGCGCTGCACAACGCAGCAGTTAGCGCAGATGTCCGAGCGTGCGGCCGTGACGCAGGAGCTGGCGCAGCTGCGCACCGAACACGCCACCCAACTCAGAGACCGGCAGATGGCGCGGGCAGAAGCGGCACGGCGTGTCGAGACGGAGACCCTTCTTCGTCAGGAAGCGCAGCTGCGTAGGGCGGCGGTGGACTTGGAGGGGGATGAGTGGCGGCTGCTACACGCGCAACTCGTGCGGGATGCATGTCGCGCTCGTGCAGCAGCAGCAGAGGCAGCAGCAGCGGCTCGCGAGGAAACTAAACGGAGGCGCCAGTCGAACGGGAAGGGCGGTGACGCTGTTGCGGCGCCGCGACTGCCGCGGGGAAAGCGACAACGTGGAGGCGACCGCGCCGCAACGCGCTCGTCAGCTGCCTCCCGTCGCCAGCGTGCGGCACTCGAGGCGGTGAACGCGCTGACGCTGACTGCCTCGCAGGACGGCCGTCGCCCCTCTCCTTCGATTTCTTCTCCGACTTCTTCGTCGATCACCGCCGGGCACACTGCTAGGACGGCCTACCGTCTTGTCTCGTTGAAGCCTTCACTGGTGAAGAGGCCCGGCTCTGCTGGCGCTGCAGCAGCAGTGATGGGTGACACCACACGTGCCTCTTCGAAAATCGCCAAACGCGCGCACGTGGCCTCTGCGATGTCGCCGTTTATGGCGGTGATGAGCGAGTCCGACTCGAGCTTCTCGTTGATGCATGACAGCGGCGGTGCGATGGAGACAGGAGCGGCGACTGCTACTGCTGCGGCCGCCGTCACGCCCGACAACACGGTGAAAGGGCGAGGGAGAGAGACGCCACCGGCGGTGTCGTCGCTGTCGCTGTCGCCGTCGCCGTCGCCCCGCTGCCCGGCTGGCGGGCGCACACGCATCTACGCCCCTGTCTCTACACACCACCACCACAACAACCACCCGACAGCAACGGCACTGCCGTGTCGCCGCCTGCAAGCTGCCGTTGACGCGGAGGTGCAGAAGACCCCGCGGAGTGCGTTGGACACGGCTTTGATGGCTGCCCGCACCCCCCGCCCGGTTGCGGTGGCCAACGCGCGTCCTGTGGCGTACAAGCTGTCTCCAAATTCAGGGAATCCGTCAGCGTTGCCGACGCGTGGTGGCGGTGGCCTGGGTTCGACACGTGCGCGCACTGGGCTGTTCGCACCGCCCCCGTCCGCGGCTGCTGTTCCCCCTCCTCCTCGTGCGCCGTTCAGCGGTGTTGGCAGGCGTCGGGCGCCGCCGCTGATGCCGACGGCTGGAGGTGCTGCGGACGACCTCTTCGCGGATTTGTTTTCGTAAAACGGGGAGAGAGAAAGACGACAACAACAAGGAGGAACGGCTGCCTCGTCGGCGCCGCGGTCTTCTCTTCTCCTCTTATTTTCCTTTTTACTGCTACCTTTGTCCCCTGCCCTCCCCCCTCTGCTACCTTCTGCTGCCGTAATTTGGCGTTGCCGTGATGGCGAGAGTTACCAAACTAGTAGAACCCCCAAAACGACAAAATTTACATGAAGAAGCCGCAAAAGGAGTTTTTCTTCCAGCACACCGACTGCGCCTCTCTCCGTATTGTTTATTATTGTGTTTCCCCCCTGCTTTCCGTTTATACGAAAGAAGTCGAGGGAGAAAAGAGGAGGCAGGGTAGCGGCGCGCATGACCATCGGCTAGCTTGTCGGTCACCGATGGGTCTGTGCTGACAGGAAAAGGAGGAACTGATGAGCGAGCAGCCTAATGCTGCACGCACGCATAAACAGACGGAGGAAAACATCAAACGAAGAGAGAATGATGTGACTGTTTTATTATTATTATTATTACTATTTGCTGTTGTTGTTGTCGTGCCTTCCGTCGTTGCGTGTGACGGCGTCGCGCTTCCTTTCGATGGGGTCGCTGTACGTCCTTCACGCCTCCCTTCATTACTTCTTCTTCCTCTTCTCTTGTTTCATTCCCCTCCGCGAAAACGACCACACACCCTCGTTGCACCTCTGCAGTATCGTTCATAAGGACCAGGAGATCACGGTTGGTACTTCTTAACTTAACACCCCACAAAAACTGCAGTACAGCATAGCACACACACACCCCGTACATACCAAAGTACAAATACGGTAGGCCGTCTCTTTCTAGCAAACTGGCACCTGTTTGGCACTTGCGATTTCTTTCCTTTTCTATTTATCCACCCACTCCCCCCTTTCTCTCGCAAGCTACTTTACGATTGTGTCTGCTAGCAGTCTTGTGCACGTCTCGCCTCGATCCGCCTCTTCGCCCATCTCACTCCCTTCTCGTGTACGTCTTTTTATTGTTTTTATAGTGGACTCCGTGCGCACACCCGCCCCGAACGCGGTGCTGCTTCAAACGCTATTCGATTTTCTTGACAGCGCACCCACGCACACGCGTCTACACAAACACACGTGGCCAGCGCGCCAGACAGTTGTCTCATCTGCTGTAAACTAGTACTTTGTTGCTGAGGGAGGAGAGTCGAAACAGTAGAAACCCGCTGCGACACACCTATACGTCCCTCAAACTATAAGTCTTTCTCCCCCTTTTTTCTTTTCTTTTCTCCTGCCTTTTCTTCTTTTACGTTTATTACTCGACCGCCGCGTACACGTGTATCACCACCCTTGCAACAACGAAACCTTCTGTGGTGTACCGTTGCGTGTACTTTGCCCTGTAGCTTGCTCGTGGAAGGAGAGAGGGATACTGCAATAACACCTCCCTCTCCACTCCCGCACCTTCACACACACAAACCAACAAAACAAAAAAATCCTTTCCTCTTGATTCTCACTAACCCAAGCGTACGCTTCTCCAAAGCAGTAAAACACAAAAGGCAAAACAAGATCGCTATCAGGTTTCCGGCCGCTTCTCCTACTTTTTTTTGTTTGTTTACTATTATTATTTTTACTTTTATTTATATCTTTCATTCGTATAAGGGAGTGATTCGCGCCTTAAAAGAATTTCCTCGCTGTTACGAGAACTGCAACGCCTTTTCTATTCTTCCTCTCTTTGGACGTTTCTCCCTCTTTGTGTTTTTTGGTTTTACCTCATGCTTTGGACCTGCAAGAGATCCTTTTTCGACCTTTCTTTTTTTCCCCTTTCTCTCTTCCTGCGCTTAGCAACATTTTTCTTTTTTTTGCTTTCCTTGCTCGTTGTCCTTCGCGTTTATCTCGTTTCTTCCTCTTTTTATTTTTTCGAATCTTTCCTCTTCCTTAACTTTCTTCTCGTCTGGATTGTTTGTTCGTGGTCTTCGCGAAAGCCGTGTGTGTGTGTGTGTTGATGTAAAACAAAGTGGGGGCGGTCAACGAAGCTGTTGCAGCGCATTAAAATGGAAAAGAAGGCGTCACGCAACGCGAAAAGCTTGCATCCTTAAAGATCGACAGCCCTTTTTTTTTTCTGGTTTCTTTCTTTCTCTCTTTTTGAGACTTTTCCTTTCAGTATATTTTTTCCCTTTTTCTTTTTCGTTGCAGGCGGGTTTTTTTTTCTGTCTCACAAGTTCGCTGTCGCATTTGTGTGTGCTGTTTCTCCGTATTATTCGATTTCGCTTCATTTTCATTTCTTTTTTTTTTCATTTTTAACTATACGACCCCCGGCGTCACACCACTCTTTCTCTCCTCTCTGTTTGCTTCTTTTCCCTTCTACGTTTGGGGGCCCCCTCCTCCTCCTGCCTTTCGTTGTACAACCTCGTGGTAGGTGGCGCCGCTGGAAAGCGTCAAGCCCGCACGTATTCCTCGTCGTCTCACGCTTCATTCCATCCGTTGACGCCCTTTCCATAGCATACGCCCACAGAGGATAACAGAAGCGCTTCTCTTTTTTGTTTTTTCCCTCTCTCTCTTCACCAAAGAAAGAAGAGAGAGACAAGAAACACATTCGCTGTTTTATTTCTACGTGATCTAACCTAAGCTTTGCGGGAGAACGTTGGGCGGCATTTCGCATGTCCACCCCAGCTTCTTCGCCGTCCTCGGGTGTGCGGAGGCGCGTCATCTCCTCGCCGCGTAACACCCAGGACCTCAAGCTGCGCCTCGCCACCGCCGACACGAGCAGCAACGGGAACTACATGATGGGCTTCGTGTCCCCGCTGTCCGAGCTCGTGTCCGGATCCCCGTCGCAGCTGCAACCGTTGACGCCCGAGTTGAACGGGCGCCCCTCCGCCGGCCACGGCCCAGGTTGGCCCGCCAGCTCAAACCTCCTCTCTGACAGCAACAAAAATAGTAATGCAAGTAATAGTAAATCAAAGGCACCACCAGCGCTGGATATTGTGTCGCCAACAGCCGCAAGCCGACACAGCGTCAACCGCGGCGAGCGCGACTCCCTGCTGGACCTCGACACGCGCAAGGACATCCCGTCGAACAGCGTCGACGTCAGCGCGGAGCGGTGTGCGCTGTCGCCCTCTTCTGCGCTCGGTGGCCGCTCCTCCACCTTCACCCCTACCTTCGACACGTCCAACGCGAACTCCTCCGTTACACCGCCGCGCGCTTCGTCGACACCTTTCGGTGATGCCACGATGACGCCGCCGCCGAACGCGCCGCGGAGCTACTCGAGGCGAACGGGCGGTCCACGAGATAGCGTGCCGCCTCCACCGCCGCCGCCGCCACCGCCGTCCGCCACCGGCTTCGGCCTGCGCTCCGCGACGCTGCGCACCGCCGTAGAAAGTCCCACGCACCTCCCGGCCGAGGCGCGGAGTCCGCTTCGGTTGTTGCAGCCGCGGCACAACATTGAGTTAAAGGGCCTTGCCCGCATCGGCGACGTTTCCGGCGAGAACGACGTGCCGTACACCTGGGCGAGTTCATCGGACGACCGCGCAAGGCACAGCGATGGAAGTCGGCCCTCCGCCGCATCACTGTCTGTGCCGAAGATACCCGCGCTCGTGCCCAGCAGCCGCCACCCGCAGACGGGGTCCATCTTAGCCACCAGCTCGCAGAACAACCCCGCCAACAGCTCCCCCACCCTCACCCCAACCGCCACGTGCAGCAAAGGCGACCAAGGCAACGGCAGCGGCACCAACACCACCCGCACCCCGACTTGCCGCTCGCGCGAAGTACGCGGGAAGGCGTCGCGCGCGCCGCGCCTGGCGAGCCACCTCTTCCTCGAACAACCCACACCGGACAGCTTGGTGCCGACGAAGAGCGATGCGCCGAGCCCGGCGCTGACGGAGCCGCGGCAGCGCGATAGCCGCAACGGCAGCGGCGGCGGGCGTATGCGCACCTCGCGCGGCTCTAGTGAAGGTCGGGTGAGCGTGTCGACGGACAACTCCAATGTGGCACTGTCCCCGCTGTGCGGGACGTCGCGGCCAAACGCGCTCAACTTCGCGCGTGGGGAGTTGATCGGCAAAGGCAGCTTCGGCGCCGTCTACCGTGGCATGCAGCGCAACACAAATCAGATCATTTGCATGAAGGAGATCCGCCTGCCTGGCATTGTCGAGGAGCTGCAGAGGCAGCAGCAGCAGGCCGCCATGGTGGCCGAGGACGCGACTTCACACGGCCCAGCCCCCGCCTCCACCTCCACCTCCACCTCTACCTCCATCACCATTCCTCCTCCGCCTACGCCGCAAGCGGCCGGCACCCCCGACACGAAGGAAAGTGCGGCGCTGCTGCGGCAGCTGCAGGGCGTGAAGCGGGAGCTGGCCCTGCTGAAGCAACTGAACCACCCGAACATCGTCAAGTACCTGAACGACGAGATTGTGGACGGGCAACTGCGCATTTACATGGAGTACGTCTCCGGCGGCAGCGTTGCCTCGGCGGTGAAGACGTACGGCAGCTTCGCCGAGCCGCAGGCGGCCGCGCTGTGCTGTCAGCTGCTGCAGGGGCTGTCCTACCTGCACGGCCACGGCATTGTCCATCGTGACCTGAAGGGCGATAACCTGCTGCTGGAGACGTCGAGCGTGCTGAAAATTGCGGACTTCGGCACGGCGAAGAGCGTCATGGCCTCCGCTACCATGACGACGAACATCGTGGGAACGGCGTACTTCATGGCGCCGGAGATGCTGCGGCTGGACGGGCTGGTCGGTACCGCGGCGGACATCTGGTCTACCGGCTGCTGTTTAATTGAGATGCTCACCGGCAAGCCGCCCTTGTCGGACATTCCGAACCAGTACAGCGTGATGATGGCCATCGCCGGCTCGCCCAAGGTACCGCTGGAGAAGTACATCCCTGCCGACAACACGTGGTCGAGCGAGGTGCACGACTTCCTGAAGCAGTGTCTGCGTCTCAACCCGGCGTCGCGGCCGAAGGCGCAGGAGTTGCTGCAGCACCCGTGGATTATAAAGTACTGCGACAGGGAGATGCTGCTGCTGCACAGCGCGACGACCTCCACTTCCACCACCACGACAACCTCCGTGGCACATGGAGGAGAGCAGGTGCGCAATTCAAACGCGTCTGGCAACGTCGGCGGTGCTGTCGGTGCCTTTGCCGTGCCGTCGTCGCCGGACGCAGTGGTGACGGCTACGCCGAAGCTCGCCGCCGCTGCTGCTGCTGCCGCCATCTCGCCCCTTCCGCGCAGCCTCTGCGGCAGCGGAGAAACGGAAGGGCCGAGTCGCAACGCCACGCCGCGCGAACGGCGGTCAAAGAAAGACCGGCAAGGCGGTGCGTCGCGGCGGCAGCACTCCCGCGACGCACCCAGCCAGAGCTGTAACGGGGCGGGCGCTGGACGAGAGGAGGCGGTCGTGCCCAAAGATGCCTTTCCCACTCCAAGCCCACCGCCGACAGGGGGCAATCGACTGTCCGATGAGACGCCTGCCTCGATCCCGCTCAACGGTCCCCTCGGACACAACCCCGTCACCGGCTCCCCTCTGCCATGTCCGCAGACGAGCACCGACTTCCCCGGCAGGACGCGCTACACCGGCGGCCCCAGCAACCCCAGCGCGCCGGAGGACGACCGCAAGCAGAGCTTCAACTACGACTACCCGCTGTCCAGTCCGGCGCGGCTGGCGGGGGTCACGGCGCAGTCCTCCGGCACCTTTCTCCCTGCCATCCTTGCCCCCGGCGGCAGCGCCGCCCCGTCCGTGTGTGGGACGCACTCCATCGAGGTTCAGCGCGGCTCGCGTCTCGCACGCGCCCTGAACCTCGGCAGCCTGCGCGACGACACCCGGGCCTATTACAACCCCAGCGACGGCGACTTGGTGCGGCGCGACTCCGCGCGGCTGGCGAAGGACTTTTCGTTTGGCGCGCACGAGTACGGCCGCGACTTTACCGATGGCTGCGTTCGTTACGGCAGCGCGGCCCGCATTCCGTTGCCGGAGTCGGGTCTGGAGCCGGGGCTGTACAGTACGTTGGATTGCCTTACCGCACCACCCACCGTAGAGGAGGCGCCACCGTCGGCGTCCTCTCGCCGGTCCACGTCACGCCGAGTAGGCCGTGGCGGGTAGTCGATGACCGCAAAAGCTTAAAGAAAGAAAAGCATAACAATTGACTTGCACTGTTTTTCTTCTTGTTTTGTCACTTCCTATTTTGTCTTTTCACTTTCTTTGTTTTTGGGTATGCTCTAAAGTGCCAATTTCTTCTGTGGGTTTCTTCTGTGTGTGTTTCTTCGCTTGTGGATGTTACTCCGCTCTTCGACGCCTTCGTCTTTTTCTTTTCATTGTGGCTTCTCTCTTCTCCGTTGTTTCGTGCTATCCGCGGCTGGACGGCAGTCTACTCTGCTTGTTAAAGCGCCTTCTTTTTCCCTTACTTCGTTTTTCTTTTGGTGGTGGTGGTGCTTTACTTCCTTCGTCTATCTTCTGTGTTTGTTGTGTGTGTGTGTTGATAGTTTTTGTTTTTCCCTTCTCCGGCTTTCTCGACCCTTTTTGTTTTCTTTTAGAAACTCCCTCCAATTTTTAATTGGCGGCATCGGTTGCCGCCTCGCTGTTTTCAGTTATGAAACGCGAATGGATATAGCAGGTCTCTGTAGAAGTTCTGTTTTTCTTTTCTCGTTTCCTCTTGTGTGGGTTTCACATATATACGCTTCGTTACCTTCTTCTTCGGCCTTTCTGGCTACTTCCGCTTATATGATGCTTTCATTCTTCGCTTTTTTCTCATGCGACGTCTGTTCTTCCTTTTCCTTTTCCTTTTCCTTTGCTTTAAATCTCTGTTGTGGGGAGGGGGGAGGGGGTCCGTGGAAGAAAACGGCGATGCTGTTTCATTGCCAACGACGGAGTTCAACGCATTCTTTCTCCGCCTCCCATCTCGCGTCTGTCTACCAGAAACCACAACAGTACTTTTCTCGTCTTTGGCTTTCCTCTCACAAAAAACAACAACAACAACAACAACAGCGTATATATATATATATATATATATATGTGTGTGTGTATGTATGTATTTATTAATATACACGACGCCTCGCGTGTAACGCCGTGGGGTCCGGAAACCAGAACAAAAGATTGTGTGCGTGACGCGAGCTGGAGGCCTTCTCCCCTTTTTCGTTCTTTGCCCTCGTGCTTTTTTCTTCTTCTTTTATTTACCTGAAATCTCAAGTTATTTCACGTTGCGTGAAACTCTCCTCCCCATCAACGCAAATCCGGCAAAGAAAGCATCCTCATCAACAACAAACATTTCTCGTTCTCTTCTTTCTTCTTTCTTCTTCGTGTATGCAGCCGTACAGGTTAGGTTAGTAACTGTGACACGCGCGTAACTTGTCTTATTTATTTCTTTCTGCTCCATTGTAACGTTCCCGAGGAGCCTCTACAGTAAAGAAAAAGGTGGAAGAAGAAGAAAAGGAAAAAAATATAAATCTAAAGAAAAAATACGTTTCATGTGCGTATTTCTTCCAAACGTTGTCGCGTGCGCGCCGTAACTTCTTCTTTTCTCTTTCTCTCCCCGGTTCTCGTGTTGCGGACGCGCTCTACGGTCTGTATTAGAAAAGAAGTCCTTCAGTAGCCTTAATTTTTCTGCCTTACTGAGACGAGAGAAATAGTAAAAAGGCGCGCTGTGTTTTTCTTGGTTTTTCTTTTCCGTGTTGTCTGAAATATTACTAAACAGCTGAATTGGTAGAAAGCGCTTATTACTATTATTAGTACTATTCATCGCCACTGTCATGTTCTGGTGCTGATGGCGGCGTCTGTGTCTTTCATTACATACACATAAACGTGTACCTATATACGTTTGTGGAAGCAAAGAAGAAGAATCACCACCACGGCTGAGCTTTCCAGCAGCTCAAACGGGTGTGATCTGATCAAGCAAGCAACAACAACAACGTACATACAAACACATACACACCGTTACCCAGTGGTGCCCCTTTTTGTTTGTTATACAGCACAAAATCCCACGAAGAAGCACACACACGCACACACACCCATACACACGCACGGCCTCGAATGATTGAGGAAGACGAACCTTTCTTCCTTTTTTTTATTCTTGTAATGTGTGTGTGTGTGTGTGTGTGTGTTTGTATTTCATCTTGTAAAGGTTTTGTGGTTTTGCGCTCTCCTACTTTCTCCTTTCTTTTTTTTTCCCAAATTCTCTTGCGGGGAGCTGCGTGCGTGTGTGTGTTTTCGCGTGAAAGCATTTCAGTTCTCTGCCGCTCCTTTTATTATTATTATTTTCTTCTGATTTCAACGCTCTTGAAAAAGTTTTTTTTATGATCTCGTTTACGACTTTCTGACTTCTTTTTTATTTCTCTTCCTGTTTTCTTCTTTTATGCTTACTTGTTTCCGCAGCTTTGCGTTCCACTTCTGCGAGAGGTGCTTTTCCCATGTATACCGTACTATACCTATTTCTCGTGAGTCATGCCTTGAAACTGGTTTTGCCTCTTTCTTTTTTAAAAATGATTTTTTGTTTCTTTGATTTATTTACTTGGAGACTCGATAGTGCGGCTTTCGACTGCTCCCGTACGCACGCAGAGGTGCGAAATGCAATATATATATATACCTATATGATATTGTGTCCAAAGCAATGTAGAAGAAGGCGAGGACAAACAGGGTTCATTACACCGCCTATTGCTGTCATTCATGTTGTTGCCCCTGAGTGTATGTGACGCATAGCAAGTCCCATAGAGACTTCTTCTTTTTTTTTTTCCCCCGATGCGCAGGCCCTGCGGAGGTTCTGTGGGGTGCATGGAGGAGGTGTCGCGACCGACAGCAGCTTTGTAGCAGTAACGAGCTCGTCATGCATCGCCCCTCCCGTTTTTTGTTTTACCTTCTCTCTCTTTGTGTGTGAGAGGTTCCATTGGAAAGAGGGGGAAAGAACAACAACGCGGTGTGCAAAGCAACGGATGTGCTGCCGCTGTGTTTTTCCGTCTTCGCCAAGCGATGCCTCTCCTCACTCATCCTCTCGCTCTCCATTTTCCGTACCTCTTCCTTTTCTTTTCTCTTCACCTCTTTTTCGCATCTTCGCCTTTCAGAGAAAGCGAGATGGAAGAGGCGTGTGTGTGCCTGAGGTGAAAGCTCAACGAATACTTCCAGCGTCTCTTTTCTTCTTCTTTTTCGTTCTCTCTTGAAGCTGTACTTCCCTGAAAGAGACCGCGCAAGTTACGCACGAGAACTGCAGAATAATAGCAGTTGAAAAGGAGAACAACACTTTTGAGCCGCACAGCGCCATGTACAACCCAGCGCTGCCAAATCACTATCGCGATGTCGTCTTCACGGCGTACGTGCGGCGCCGGCAGCGCGAGGAGGCCGACGCGCTCGAGCAGCAGCGGCAGCCGAACGCCCTTGCCTCCGCTCTCTCATCGCTCGTCTCCACACTCCCTGCCTGTGCCGACGGCGAGACGGTGTCCTCGTCCGGGTTAAGCCTGTCTGCGGAAGAGCTCCACCTGCACCGCATTAAAGAGTCCGCTGCGCTCGGGATCCAGAGTGCGGTGGATATGGAGAAGGATGCCCTCGAGGTGGAGCACAGGAAGAAGAAATTGGAAGGCGCAGACGCCCGCTCGCGTATTGGCAGCCGACTGGACAAGCTGAAGGCGCTGGCGGCTAAGTCGAAGAAGCTGACGGGAAGCGACGCAGCGGAGAAGACGCATGCAATGCCCATGCCCAGCACAAACACCACAACTGCACCGACGACAACGACATCTGCCGAGCCCGCGTCGTCGTCTTCTTTGCCATCCGCACCATCGGCGACTGCACCCCTCGTTTTCCAGCGCTCCGCGCTCGCCGCAGGTGGCTACGTCATGACGGCCGCCCCGGTCGACTCCTCAGTCCTCTCCGCCACCGCCGGCGTCGCGACGAGCACGAAGCGAGCGGTGCGCGGCAAGCCGAGCTCGACGTTGCTGCTGCGCTACCTGCGCGAAAGCCCTGTCGCGACAACGTGGAGTGCGGAGCAAGTTGCCCAAGCGGCTGCGTCGCCGACCGCGAGGGATGCGCTGTGCGCCCCGTTGGTGGACTCGGTACGTCAGCGGTGTCGACGGTTCGGCTTTGTGCGGGGCGTGAAGGCACGGGTGCACACGGCGGCGGCGGTGGCGTCCGTCTTGGGCGTGGCTGCGATGGACTCGGCGGCGCTGCGGTGTGAGCAGCTGCGACTGTGGGTGCGGTACGACAGCGTGACGGAGGCCTTCAAGGCGGCGGAGAGTCTGGCCAAGGAGCCCGCCACCGCCGAGGGGCCGGTCTTCTGCGTGTGCTTCTATGTAACCAACTTGTTTGACGCCGACACGCTCGACCTGCGCGCGGAGGACGATCGGGTGTTATCGTAGAGTTTATTAGGGTATTGCGGCGTCGCTGTTGCTTGTACGAGTTGCTCGTTCTCACCAGAGAAAAGAAAGGAAATTCAGAAATCAAGAAGAGAGAAAAAAAAACATCAAGACAACTGCTGCCACTGCTGTTGCTGCTTCTGCCGATGCTGCGGATGCTCATCGGGGTGTACCGTTACACGTGCGATCCCATCGGAAAACTAAGTTCATAATAATAATAACAGTAATACAAAGTGAGGAAGCGCTTGAAAGGTTCGACTCCCGTGTGGATGCATCACAGCACGTATGCACGTACGACTGTTACCTTTGCCACGACGTACTCTCCCTCCTCCCCTTCCTTCTCGTTGTCCTTTTCCCCTTTCTCATCGCGGGATACGATTAGCCGCGTCGGCTTATCCGGCAGTGTTTCATCGCTCACCTTCGCTACATTTTTTTTTTTAAACGAATATTATTATCCTTATCATTTTCTATTTTTCCTTCTCCCCTATCGTGCCAAATCGCAAACACCGACATCCGCGTCAACACAGTACCAGGCTCACTCAAAGGAGAAAAACGAAAGCGACCACCACCACAACGGCAACAGCAAAAACACGTTCACTGTTTTATTTATTATTATTATTTTGACTTTCTTTTCTCCTCTCCCACAACCAATGTCTTCTCTTCTTCCTACAGTGGCGCAGCAGGACCCGGAGCTGGCGGACATGATCGAGCTCGAGATGGGTCGACAGTTCCGCGGGCTGGAGATGATTGCGTCGGAAAACTTGACCTCACGGGCCGTCCTCGAGTGCCTGGGGTCGGCCCTCACGAACAAGTACGCGGAGGGCGAGCCGGGCAGCCGCTACTACGGCGGCACCATGTACGTCGACAAGGTGGAGAATTTGGCGAAGAAGCGCGCGCTCGCCGCCTTCGGCCTCGACCCGGAGGAGTGGGGCGTCAACGTGCAGCCGTACAGCGGGTCGCCGGCGAACTTCGCGGTGTACACGGCGCTGCTGGAGCCGCACAGCCGCATTATGGGCCTCGACCTGCCCAGTGGTGGCCACCTCACCCACGGCTTCTACACCGCCAAGAAGAAGATCAGCGCCACCTCCATCTACTTCGAGTCGTTTCCCTACAAGGTGAAGGAGAACGGGCTGATTGACTACGACAGTCTGGAGTCGATTGCGCTGACCTACCGGCCCAAGATGATCATCGCAGGCGCCTCCGCCTACGCGCGTGACTTCGACTACGAGCGCTTCCGGCACATCTGCGATGAGGTGGACGGCTTGCTGTTTATGGACATGGCGCACACCGCCGGCCTCATCGCAGGTGGGGTGCTCAAGTCGCCTTTTCCGTTTGCCGATGTGGTGACCACGACGACGCACAAGTCCCTGCGTGGCCCCCGCGCCGGCATGATCTTCTACCGCAAGAAGGACCGTCAGGGTAAGCCGACCGACTTCGAAAGCCGCATCAACCAAGCTGTCTTCCCGGGCATTCAGGGCGGCCCACACGAGCACCAGATCGCTGCCATTGCCACGCAGATGCGCGAGGTGTGCGGTCCGGAGTGGAAGGCCTACGCGCAGCAGGTGCAAACCAACGCCCGTGCCCTCGGCGCGGCGCTGATGGCGAAGGGGCACGAGTTTGTGTCCGGCGGCACGGACAATCATCTGCTGCTGTGGAACGTGCGGGTGCACGGTCTGACGGGCAGCAAGATGGAGAAGCTGCTCGACGCCGTCTCCATCTCCGTCAACAAGAACACCATTCCCGGCGACAAGAGCGCCATCACCCCGGGCGGCATTCGCGTGGGCACGCCGGCGCTCACCTCCCGCGGCATGAAGGAGGCGGACATGGCAACGGTGGCCGAGTTCCTGGACCGTGCCGTGACGCTGGCGAAGGAGGTGCAGAAGGACGCCGGCTCCGCCAAGCTGAGCGACTTTGTCGAGGCGCTGGCGACGAACGCGGCGGTGGCCGCGCTGCGCTACGACGTCGAGGAGTTCGCGATCCAGTTCACCATGCCGAGCTTCGATGCGTCGCGCATCAAGTACAAAGACGGCCTGCCGGAGGAACACTAAGGCCAACAACACCAACAAGAGTCAGAAAAAGGAAAAGGGAAGTTCGGGGGGGGGGAGTAGACAGCGTTTGGCGAGAGCGATTGAAGTGCGCTGCCATCGTTGCTAAGGAACGGCGTTTTGGGGTAACGCATTCGCCACCCCACCAACGGTAAGCACTGCGGGTACCGTTCGCAAAGTACGCCATAAAAGGAAATAATGGCGTGTTTGGTGCTGTCTTTCTCTCTCTTTCCACATCTATTTTTTCTTTTGATTTTTACGTTCTTCTGTTTTCTTCTCTTACAGGTGTGTGTGTGTGTGTGTGTGTATCTGATTGGCAAAGAAGCTGTTTTGATAGCGCATTAAACGGTTTTATTCTCCTCTCACACACGCGCACACTCTTTCTATAGCATTAGCAAGCAATGCGATACGGAAGAAACGTTCGCTCGACTTCCAGCGATTCCCCAAAAAGGAAAGAGAAGAATAATGGCGCATAGGGTGGGTGATTATTTTCTTTTCATAACTTTCGTTCCCCCCTCCCCCTTGCCGCATCTCCGCCTTGCAGTGCTGAATGTCCCTCCCTCCCTCCCTCCCTCTCTCCCCTCCAAAAAGAGAGAAGAAGAGTGCTACCAAGGAGTATTTTCTGTTGGGCTTGTTGACGCGTGTCACAACACCGCCCCCATCGTTTCTCCCCTTTCGACAGTCTTTTTCTTTCCCTCTCTCTTACCAACCACCCGCTCTTTCTCCTACCGATTCACTTTTTTCGTGTAACACGCGCGTACACAGCACAGGACCCCTACGTTATCATCACCTCGTGTGCGCGCCGAGCAGCGGGACTTGGAGCTGGCCGGTCCCGTGTTCTACGTGCTCTTCTCTCCTTCGAGTATAACACCAAAGAAGTCTCGAGTTCTTCTTCCTTTTCTTTTCACGTGTGTGTGCGTCGGCTCTTTCGATTTGCGCTGTCGTGTGTGCTTCTTGCGCCATCATGACGCCTAGCAACAGCGACCGGCCACAGCGCTCTTCGAGTCGCTGTCGTGCACTGCGATGTCGGGTGCTCGTCGTCGCTTTCCTAATTCTCGCTTCACTCGCTGCAGCAGTCTCGCAGACCACAACGGAGGACGATGATGCCGTACGTGTTTTGCTGGCTGCAGGCGACAAGGCACTCGGCCAAGGCCGTGCCCTGTACCAAGATGCGCTAGCAAAATACACGGAGGCGCTGACGCGCAGCCCCACCAACGAGCGTGCCCTCTACAGCCGTGCCGAGCTGTATGTGATGCTGCGCGATCGCACGTCTGCGCTGGAAGACCTCAACACGCTGCTCTCCCGCCACCCAGATCATCCGCAGGGGTTGGCGCTTCGTATGTCCATTCACACACAACTGGGCAACCTGGCCGCTGCCCACCGCGACGGACAGCACTTGGTGACGGTGTACAACGCGCTCGACAAGGCAGCGAAGGCACGCACCGTCGCAGCGCAGGTACACCACCTCGAACACTACACAAAGCGGTGGGCCGCGCTGGCCGACCTGTGGGAGCTGCCGGTGGAAAACTACCCTGCCGCGGCTGGCGATCCCGCGCAGACGCAGCGGTACGAGGAGTGCATCGCGCTGCTCGAGAGTGTCGTGAAGGAATTTGCGCGGGACAGCGTGGAGCTGCGCCTGCGACGGGCGGCGTGTGCATTGGCGATCGGCAACAATCTCATCGCCTCGCAGGAGCTGAAGTACGTAACGCAGCGCACTAGCAACAACCTGGACGCCATCGCCTTGAACGCGCAGGCACTGCGGGGGCTGGGGGCACTGGATCAGGCCAAGGCCGAGGTGCGCCGCTGCCTCGCGTTGGACCCCGAGTACGCCTCGTGCGCGAGCCTGCACAAGCTCATTCGGCTGCAGCAGCGATTGACGAAGGAAATCGCCAGCAAAATGAAGGACAAGTCTTACGAAACGGTACACGCGCTGATCGCAGAGGCGCGCGAGGGCGAGGCAAACAGCGCGTACGAAGAGCAGTTGGCGACGTGGCACTGCGAAGCCTTGGTGGGTTTGCGCGACACAGAAAACGGCCTGCGCGTGTGCCAAGGTGTCGTTGACCGCTACAAGGGCGCGAACAGTCCGGTGGTGTTTGACGCTCACATATGGTTGGCGGAGTTGCACCTGCTCGACGATAACATCGCCGCGGCGGAGGCGGAGCTGCAGAAGGCGCGCGACATACGCCAAGGCGACGGCAAGGTGCAGGAGCTGCACGCAAAGATTGAGAACATCAAGCGCAACGGGGCACGGAAGGACTACTATAAGCTGCTGGGTGTGAAAAAGACGGCCTCGTCGCAAGAGATCCGTCGTGCCTACCGCGCTATCGCCAAGAAGAATCATCCGGATCAGCTGCACTCGCAGAACTTGACCGAGGCGGAGCGCGAGAAGCGGGAGAAGGCGTTTCGCGACATTAACGAAGCAAAGGAGGTGCTGTTAGATGACGAGAAGCGTGCCATGTACGACAACGGACAGGACCCGAACCAGCAGCCGGGACAGGGCGGTGGTGGCAGACCGAACTTTGGCTCGCAGTTCCCTGGCGGCTTCCCTGGCGGCTTCCCTGGCGGCTTCCCTGGCGGCTTCCCTGGCGGCTTCCCCGGGGGCTTCCCTGGCGGCTTCCCCGGGGGCTTCCCTGGTGGCTTTCGTCAGCAAGGTGGTGGTGGTGGTGGTGGTCAGCAGTTTTTCTTCTTCCGCGGCGGCTGATGCACACAGCTGCGTTGCTGGCGGTGTAGAAACCCACGGCCCTGCTTCGTACTCGCTTCAGAATTGCAAAGAAGAGAAGAAGAAAAGGAGAAGAACAAAAAAGCCGGCGGATTTTCTCTATGTGGGCTTTCTAACAGCGGTGTTTCACGGCGGCTGTAATATCCTCGCTACATGGGCTTTTATTTATTTATTTATTATTTTTTTTTTTGAGAGAGAGAGAGAGAGCGAGAAAGAGAGCGCGACGGTGGTGTCGGGGACACGTCTCCACGTTGTATAACGTTCCCCTTTTTCTCTGTGTTGTTGTTTGTTCCTGTATATTGTGTTCTACGACTTGGTATGAGTTCAATCCGCTCGATCGTGGTACGGTTGTGTGTTGGACGCGGCGCCCTTTACGCCTCGCGGCCCGCTAAGAAAAAAACCGGAACAAAAAGAACAGCACCGTAACGGAGGCGCTCGTGGAGTTGGGGAATTGTGTGGTTGGCAGTTGTATCGCAATGGAGGGTTTTTGCGTTGTGGAAGCGCACTGCTCCACCCACCCACCCCAAAGACACCCACCCACCCCAAAGACACCCACCCGCTCTGATTGTTGTGGAGGGTGAGCTGCTTTGGATTCCGATGCGTCGCTTGCACCTCAGTAACAACTATACAACTCACATATATATATATGAACACGAGAGCCATCTTTTTTCTTATTTTTTCCCTCTTTGCACAGACCTTTTCATCCTACGAACTGAGATTTCTCTCCTTCACATTCCTCCTCCCCTCTTCTTCTTTCGTTCAGAATAGGGATGTAGAACGAAGAGAGCAGCACACAAAACACCCCGCATTTCACATTCGCAGACCTCCCCCCCCCCCCCACACACACACACGCATCCACCTTTGTATTTATCACAGCGACGACAGCTGAAGTAACGGCGACTAACATTAAAACATCGTTTATATTTTCCAAAAGAAAAGAATACGTACAATAATTGTATCCTTCAATTTCTGCCCTTCTACAATGCCCGACTTAAAGAGGGATGTGCTGTCCATCGACGGCATCTACTACGACACCGAAAAGGTCGCCCAGATGCACCCCGGTGGGTCGATGATGGTGCGTCTGTGCAACGGCCGCGAGTGTACTGCCATCTTCATCAGCTACCACCGCCGCCGCTTCCCCCACGAACTGTACACGGAACTGCAGGTGCCAAAGGAGGAGGTACACCCGGACAGCTGGATTGAACAGCGCGAGCAGCCCAGCTACGACAGCTACCTCGAGCTCTGCAGCAAGATTCAACCGATCATTGCCCCCACGAAGGGCTTTGCGCCGTGGTACTACTACCTGAAGGCGGCCCTGTGGCTGACGATTATGCTGGGTGTTGACTTGTACTCGCTCTTTTACCGCCGCGGCTGCTTGCTGACGGTCATCCAGTCCCTCTCAATGGCGATGGTCGGCCTGAACGTGCAGCACGACGCCAACCACGGCGCACTGAGCCGCGACTGGCACATCAACCGCGTGCTGGGGCTCTCACAGGACCTTCTCGGCGGCAGCAGCATCAGCTGGATCATCAACCACGACTACATCCACCACATATACACGAACGAGCCGGAGCGCGACGGCGACCTCGAGATCCCGCTGCTGCGGCTGCACAGCGGCATCCCGGTGAAGCTCGCCTACTGCCTGCAGCAGTTTTACGTGTTCCTGCTGGAGGCCGTCTTCGGTCCGGTGCACGTGCTGTCGAACATCGTCTTTCTCGCGAAGGGCCCAAATGAGAAGCAGCGGCTGCTGAAATCGCAGTGGGACATCAGCCGCTGCATGATCTCCATCATCCCGTACCGCCTGCTCTGCAACTTTCTGCACGCCTCGAGCTTTGGCGATGGGGTGGCGAGCTGCATGCTGCAGTACATGTTCGGCGGCTTCTACCTCGCCTACTTCTTCCTCATCTCGCACAACTTCGATGGCGCAAAGAAGGTGGGTACGAGCGATGGCCAGGACTTCGTTGCGTGCCAGGCCGAGACGAGCTGCAACTTCGGCGGTTGGTGGTGGGGCCAACTGAATGGTGGGCTGAACTTCCAGATCGAGCACCACCTTTTCCCTCGCGTGCACCACGGCTACTACGTCTACCTCGCCCCTATCGTCCGCCAGTTCTGCGAGGAGCACGGCTTCACGTACGTTCACTACGACACAATCCAGGCGAACCTGCAGAGCACCTTCCGTCACATGGAGAAGTACGGCCGTGGCGAGGAGAAGGTGAAGATGCTGTAAAAGAAAGAAAAAATGAAAACGAAGAAACAGGAAGGAGCGGCATTCGTGTGGCGTCGTTCGCCGCGCTCACGCGACTCCCCGCTTTATTTTTTAATCGTTTCCTTTTGTTCTCCATGTTTGTCGAGTTGCCGGAACGTGTACCTGAGTGCAACTGTCTGATGTCGGCTGTGGCTTTATGACTTCTCGTTTCTCCCCCTCGTGGATGCGGCCGACGACGAAACGGCTAAGGAACTTAAAAAAAAAAAACGAGGGTTGTTGGGAACCGGTGATGCGCATTTTTTTTTTCCATCTCTCTTATTTGTTTTACGGACCTTCGCGGTAGAACATAAATGGAACAAACACGCAGTGTTTCATGCGTGCGTGCGTGCGTGTGTGCGCACCGCACCTAACGTGTATGTCTCTTACTGTCTTACATTCACTTACATTTTCATCGAACATATATTTCCTCCTTCTGCCTCCCCGGCGTGCGTGTTATTTTGCGGATCGCGAGCGGCAGACGACGTCGATCGGCAAACATGGCTAAAACTGTCTGGTGACTGACGACGGCGATAGAGAAGGAGGAGAAGCAAACAAAAAAACACATAGGGCACTCATGTCGTTACCATAAAGGCCATCACTTAATACCCTTTACACTTCGTCGTTGATAAACTGAGTTCGTAAAACGGTGTGTGTGTGTGTGTGTGTGTGTGCATGTGCGTGCGATGGTGGACAACACAGTGTGCATGCGGTGCAAGGAGGAACCGCTCTTCTCACCCACACAACCCACGAGTAAATAAGAGAGTAACAGCACCGCCTGGTTGTCTTCCGTAGTAGCTCTCCCGCCCTCGGCACGTTCTTTTTTGTTGTTGTAGTGTTATTCCTTGTTACACGTACGATATCGCATTTGGTAAAACTTGGAAAAGATAAACAAAATAACTTCGCCAGCACGTAAAACTGTGTGTTATTCAGCGGCGTCGTTTAGTAGTAAGTGGAAACAATGTATTTGTTTGTTTTGGGGGGTTGCGTTGCGCTCTGTCGTGGCGTCAGGTAACAAGTTTGCGTTCTTAGTATTCTCTGCATCACAGTTTCTTATCCACAACGGACCAAAAGAGGTAAAAAGAAAAAAGAAAAACGAAGAAAACCGGCAACATAGAGGAATTGCTGTGTGTGTGTGTTGCGAGCACAAACTCTCGCCAGTTTCTCCTCGCTTTCACTGCTCTTTTTTTCCCGATGCGAACCGTCACTGAAATGAGCAGTCTGCCTTGCAGTGCTTCATTGTCTCCTCTCCGGTCTTGCTTTCCACCCCTATTTCTTTCGTTCATTGACCCACAACAACTCTATTGGTTTCAAGTGTGAGAAGGAAAATTTGAAGGAGTTGCTCGCCTCCATCGCCTTTCCCGCTATTTGTCTTTTCCGCTAGAGAGATCGCTTTGTCAGTTTGGCACGACGACGCACGCGCTTGAAGTGCGGGGACGTGTAAAACTCGTAGAGTCCCTTCGCTGGTCCGCTCGAGGACGCCGACACTCACCGCACGCCGTTGAGAAATCCACATCGCACGGAGCCCCAACCGTCCCCTCGTTCTTTTCGTTCTTTTCCTCATTTCCTCATTTTCTGATTTGCACTCCTGCTGTTCACCGACACACGGGCACGCACACGAATCTGCGCCGCACCGCAGCCGTCAAAAGAATGTCCGCCACGGACCGCCCCGCGGACGGCGTCACGCCGCTGGCCAAGGCAGACCTGTCCGCCACCGCCGACACCGACGCCCCTGTCGTACTGCCACCCCCGCCCGTGCAACAGCCCCCGGAGCCCCCTCAGGCCCCACAGGCCCCACAGGCCTCCGCCTCTCCTTCCTCTGCCGCCGCCGCTGCGTCGCCGCCGTCCGATAAGGATGCCGAGGCGGTTGCCATGGACCCGGCGGCGCTGTGGGCTGCGCTGGACCTCCCTGCGCCGGAGGCGATGCCGTCGCAGCACACGGCCCGCCGCGTCGTCCTGCTCGGTCGCCCGCTCAGTGGCAAGCGCACGGTGTGCCGGCGGCTGTGCTTTGCGGCGGAGGCGCAGTACGCCGCGCCGGACGACGGCGACGACGGGGACCGCAGCGGCAACATGGCGGACAACGGCCGGCAGCCCCTCTACCACCCGTCGTCGAGCGACGAGGAGGACGCGGACCTGTTCCCGAGCCAGAACCTCGGCGGCTGGAACATGCCGGGTGCGTTCTCCACCGTCGGCGCGCTGCAGGAGCGCACGGTGGTGGGCCCCCACGACCACAGCGGTCCCCTCTCGCACGGGTCGGGCGTGTGCTTTGACTACGTTGTGCAGCGCGTGCCGACCCGCATCGCGCACGGCGGCGAGGAGAGCGCCAACGCCTCCAGCGCCGCTCGGCGGGTGGAGAGTGGCGGCGGCGGCACGGTGCGCAGGACCACGGAGTTCTTCTGCTGCGACTCCGCGGGCGCCTTGTCGATGGCCCTCCCCTCCATCGAGGACGTGGAGACGGCGGTGGTGCTGATGGTGGTGGACGTGAGCGACGTGGCCACCATCCGCCAGCAGCTGGACTTTTGCTACACGACGCTGAACTCGTACGTGGCGACGCTGCTGCGGAACCAGGCGCCGAACAACGACGAGGTGCGGCGGCTGCAGCTGGCCACCGCCCTGCAGGACTACTGGTTTGCCGAGGAGCAGAAGCTGCGCACCACGCGGACGAACCTGGCGAGCAGCGTGAGCGCGTCGAAGGAGGGCAAGAGCGACGTGCTCTTCAAGGATCCGATGGTGAGCGTCGCCAAGGTGAACGCCACCGTCTTTCGCGTGCCCGCCTCCGCCGGGACCGTGTGCGCGATGCACACCGTTGTCGTGTGCACCAAGGCGGAGCACCTCGAGCGGGCGTCGCGTGCGGTCGGCATTCTGGACGGCGCGGGCGGCAGCGGCGACAACGACGCTCTGTTTGCGCGCCTGGGCGTCTCCGCCGAGCTGGTCGCGGCGCTGCGTCGCTCGCGGCTGTCGCTGATGGCGCTGCTCTCGCAGATCATCCGGCAGTACGCCGTCTACCGCCGCGCCGCCGTCGCGTCGCTCAGCCAGCGGGTGAACATGACGACGGCGGGCGCTGATGGCGAGTACGCCGGCTCCGCGCTGGTGAACCCCTTCTACAGGGGCTTCTGGTCCTACATTTCCTACGTGCTGTACAGCGGCAAGGACGCGAACAGCGCTCCGTCGAGCGACGTGCTGCGCGTGTGCTCTGCCCGCATGCACCCCTACGCGCTGCTCCCGTGCGGCCTGGATGCGCCGGGGCTGCTGAATCACTTCATCACCTCCGACCCGACCCAGTTCGCGGACCTCGCGAACGGTGCGAGTGACGAGGCGGCGGACTCGGCGATTCGCACGACGGCGGAGGGCGTCCTCACGCCGGACGGTGTCTTTGCGCTCCATCAGAAGTACATTCAGCGCGCCCAAGCGGAGCTCTCGGCGAGCTGGGCGCATGCGGACATGACGGTGCCCCACGTGGAGGAGACGAACATGATCTGGGACAGCCTGTAATGGGTGCGTGTGTTCCTCTTCTCCCTGTACGCACGTGGCCGCCGAGACTCGGGCGCGTTGCGGCGCCGAGCTCTTCCTTTCCTTTCCTCCCATTTTGTTTCGTTGAGCGGGCACCGCGAAGGCGGCGAGGCGGCGATTGCTGCTGCCGGCATCCCATCGGCCTGCGCTCGAAGGGCGAGCGAACCGCTGCCTCTGCTGTTTTCGCCTTTCTCTTCTCTCTCGCGTGCTTTCTGGACGTTTGACACAGTGCATGGTGCAGCGCCACCGTCGTGGACAACAACAGCCGCAGCAAACGAGCACAGCGGGGCAAGGCGCAGGGCTTTTCGCTACTCCTCTCGCCTGTCTACTACACGGTCTCCGCCGCTGGGCGGGGATGGCGCGTTCCACCGGCCCGCAATAACGGTTCTGCGCTTACGCGGCACCGCCACGAGAACGGAGGCGTGAAGCGAGGCCTTCTCTGGCTTGGTGCAGCGTGGTAGCGCACACGTCTGCGCGCCGTCGTGCAGTGGACGCTTCTGATGAACCTTCTGTGCTGGCTGTACCTTCAATGTTCGTTTCACGCACCTCTTGTCTTCTTGCTTCCCATCTCTCTCTCTCTCTCTTGTCGTTGCGGGTTGCCGCGATCCGCTGCGCGGTGGGCTGTCGTGTTCGATTGAACCACGCGTGGTCTCTCGTCTGCCACGTGCACGGCGCCGCGCTCGCCTCCTCACACACCTTCTCTTCTACTTCGACGACGACTCGATGCGCTCGACGTACAACAGACAGCCACTTCCGCTTTGTCTCAAATATAATTCTCTTTCTTTGTCAAACTCCTCTCTCGTGCGTTATCCCGACTCGTGTGTTCGCGTTTCTCTGTCCCCCCCCCCCCCCGCCAGCCGCAACACTTTCGCCGATCACACCCGCACAGGCAGCTCTGATTCCCTCTTTCCTCTGCCCTCAAACTGCCGCTTCAAACGCCTTCCATTCGCACGCCTGTCATGGCCGACCCGCACGACAACGACGACGACGTGTGCGAGGAGGAGGCGCCGCGCCGGCCGTCGCTGCTCGACGTGCGCGAGGAGGACGCGACGAAGTCCTGCGCTCTCCGCACGGACTCCCCTCGGGCGTTCCCGGCGGTACACCCCGATGCCGCCGCGCTCGCCGCGAGGCACCCCTGGACGGAGCACATCCCGCTGTTCAGCGCCAGCAGCCGCGGCCTCGGCCCGAAAGGCGCGATTGCGCTCGGTCTGTGCTACTTCCTCAATAAAGGTCTCGGCAGCTACCTCGTCAACTACGCTCGCTATGCGATGTTCCGCAATCGGTATGGCGTCGACGGTACTCGCTACCAGCGTCTCAGCACGCTCTACACGATGGGGTGGTCCGTGAAGGCCTTCTCGGCGAGTGTGTCGGACACCTTCGCGCTGTTCGGCTACACGAAGCGGTGGTACAGCGCCGGCTCGTGTGTGCTGGGCGCTGCCTTTGTGCTCGCCTTTGGTCTGCTGCCCGCGAAGGAGGCGAGCGCGAACACGGGTGCCGGCTTCATGTTCCTGACGAACTTCTGCATGGCGAACATCGACATCCTGTCGGAGGGCCACTACAGCCGCATCCTGAGCAAGCGTCCTGCCGCCGGCCCTGCGCTTGTGAGCTGGATCTGGGTGTTTATCTTCTCTGCGTCGCTGATATCGGCGGTGATCCAGGGTCCGGTGTCGGACCAGCACAACCCCCAAGTCGGCCTGTTCATTTCCGCCGGTGCGCAGGTTGTGACGGTGGTGTTCTTCATCTTCAACTGGTACGGCGAGCGGCTGAACAAGATCGAGCGCTACGAAGACTTTCGGGTGGCGGAGGCGGCGCGGAAGGCGCTGCTGAGCTCGACGAGCTACGGCAGTGAGCCGGCTGTGGGCGTCGACGTGAAGAACCTGCACCCTGAGCTGTCGAGCGACGCGGAGCGCAACATCCCCACCGCGGACGCCGCCGTGGAGGCGCTCTCCGACGAGCTCGTTGCGGTCCGCGCCGCGGATGTTGATGAGGAAAGCGACGAGGACGAGGCCCTGCGAGCGTTCAGCAGCAGCCCGTACATGAGCACCTTCTGTTGCGGTGCGGTGGAGGTGAACAAGGAGGTGTTCTTCCGCAACTGGCGGCTCTTCGTGTACTCTGCGATCATGGTGTCCTGCGTCGTGGTGCAGTGCCTCGTGACGGTGTTCGGCAACTCGCACGACCTCGGCTGGTCTTCGCTGGCTGTGGCCGTGACGTGCTGCTCGGTGGCCTTCTGGGCCTGCACGTTTGTGGCTGCGAAGGCGATCGTCTTTGTGTTTCTCGACATGCTCCTCTACCTGCAGCTGCCTGGCGTGATGGACAGCTTCTACATGGCGACGGAGAAGTGCTACCCGGAGGGTCCGCACTTCAGCTACACCTTCTACAACACGATCGGCTCCATCATTTCGAACTTCGCCGGCATTGCTGGTGTGACGGCCTTCACGTACGTCTTCTCGAAGCACAGCTACTACCTGGTGTTTATCGTGACCACGGTGCTCAAGGTCGTCGGCTCCATCTTCGACATCATCATCGTGGAGCGGTGGAACCTCTACATCGGCATTCCCGACCACGCCATGTACATCATGGGCGACTCGATCGTGTTTCAGGTGTGCAAGGAGCTGGCGTGGATGCCGGTTGTACTGCTCTTTTCGCGCATCTGCCCGCGCGGGTCGGAGAGCATGATCTACGCCCTGGCGGCGGGCTTCAGTAACATGGGCCAGTCGATGTCCAGCACGATCGGCTCGCTGTTTATCGAGCTGGTGTGGCCCGTGAAGACCACCGGCGTGAACGGGTGCGACTTCCACAACGTGCAGATGCTGTTGCTGGTGGCGCACATCCTCATTACCCTGGCGGTGATCCCGCTGAGCTTCCTGCTGCTGCCGCGTGCGCGCATCTGCGACGCCATCGACGTGGACGGCCACGCCAGCCGCCAGCCCCCGAAGGAGGCGGGGACGTCGGGCGAGGCGTCTGCGCGCAGCAGGGATGATGAGGGCCGTGCTGAGCAGCCTCGCCCCGACGAACGGCGCGCGTAAGCGCGAACAGCGCACCCGTGTTTTCTTCTTCCTCGCGTTGCACGGGCGTGAGCGCTGCCCCTGCAACACGGGAGGAGTCGCGTGTGGAGGGCATCGAAGGGTGGGCTCTGCACCGTGGCCTTTTAACTGCGTTCTTTTGAAGCTGCCGCTGCTGCTGCCCGGCCGTGGGTTTAAGTTTCTTTGTTTTCCACCGTAGTCCGCTTTCGGGTCGCCGCTGCGCTGTAAAGAGGTGCGGCTGTGCGAAGTCGCGCATTAAGAACATTTCCGCGCCGCGCCGGCTCGGCGGCGTCTCTGTCGGTGTCTTGCCACTGCGAAAACGATAGTGATGAGGGCCTGGGTGTTGGGCGGCGATCTCGTTGGCCTCGTTTGTCTGCTGTTGTATTACGGCCGACACGATTTCTCCCCCCCCCCCTTCGTTCCCCCGTCTTCATTGTGTTCGTATTGTGTGAGACAGCCGCGTGCGAGGACGGTCTTGATGCTGCTCCGACGCAGCGGGGAGACGCATCACGTCGCAAGGCGGCGGAGGCGACGACACGAAGAGCGCGACGTCGTTCACCTGCTTGACGGGGAACTCTTATTAGCACGTGTGTACGTGCCTTGTTTCCCTTTCTAATATATATTATTTGTTGCTTTCACCCCCTCCCCCATCAGCTGAAGCGTAAGTTTCCTCTGTGCCCCTTGTGTTTCGTTGTGGAAGCGTGCGATGCAGCGAGTGTGTTGCGCATCGACAGGAGTCCACACTTTCTCGACAAAGCGGCGTACCCCCGGCTGGAGTCCGGCAGTACAATGCTGATGTCATTGCTGTATTTTTTCTATTCTCTTTTCTCTCAGTCTGCGTAACGCGGTGCCACTCTTGTGCTCAGCTGGAGGTCTTATACGTATATCTGAACTCCCGTCTCGCCGGAGGACAGAGTGGCGCCCCTTGTTTTTCTCCCTCTCCCCCTTCACTGTGTTTCACATCTCTACCGGAGTAGAACGCGCTACATTTTGAGCACACGTGTATATATATAAGGAAAGCCTTGTGCTCTATCGTTGCCTTTACTGCTATGACCCCCCTACACGCGGCGTGGAACTCGTGGTGCAGTATCGCCTTCTTCTTTCTTCGTCCCTCTGCCTTCTAGTGCGCTGCATCGTGGCCTCCTCCGCCTCCAAGTATCCCCCGCCACCGCCGCTGAGGACGGAGAGAGAACACGAGAAGAAGTGTGTCGGCAGCGGTGGCGTAAGTCGGTCGTGCTCGACAGCAGCAAGGGCGTTATCTACCTATTTTATTTTGCTTCTACTTTAGTGCTTCTGTTTTCTCTTTTTATTTTGATTTACATCTTTGTATAAACGAGGAACATTTATTTCTGTGTCCGAGCGGTTTACTTCACCTCTCATACGCCACCTTCAGCGCAATGCGGATGTCGGCGCACTCCCGGCGGGGTGTGGGCAGCGCGTTAGAGCGGGCGAGAAGGCGACCACGAAGCAGGAAGGAAAGAGGAGGGTCAGTTATTGCGTGTGTGCGCAGTAGGATGTCCGTAGGCCACTGGAGAGCTTTACGGATGTGCGCGATCCCTTCATGCGTCCTTTCGCCCGCCAGCGCTGTATCTTTGTTTGACCGGTGTTGAGCGGCTTTGGCGACGTCCCTGGTAACGGGAGGCGCACGGCGCGCGCATTATTATTATTATTATTATGAGCGGACTTTTTCGCCTTTCTTTTGTACTTCAACGAAATGCACTGGCAGGAGCCACTCCTGCGAATTTATCGCTTATTGCTTTTTAATACTCTTTATTGTTTTGTTATTGAAGCGAACTGAATATGGGAACCATGGGTATTCAAGTCGAGTCTTTCATGGCAGGTGTCTGCTAACCTTCCGCTCCTTCAAGTGCCGGATGAACGTCCTTGAAAGTTGTGTTTATTGCACTGCTGTACCGCGATGCGGATCCGCGCGGACGTAGCGGCTGAAGTCCGTTGGTGGTATGGAGTTCGTCTTGAATTATTCCAAAAGAAATCCTAGCAGAACGGTACCTTTTCCTCTTGTGTTTTTGGGGGATTTGTGTTTATCTTCTCTCTCTCTCTCTCTCTCTCTCTATATATATATATATATATATATAATACAATAAGAAT